TATACTACCGCGTAGTGAAAATCCATTTATTCATTCCTGCTACTAATTAATTTGAATGGATTTTTGTGTACGATAAAAAACGTTGTTCAGAGTTAGTCATACCTTATAAGTTTTGTGGCCGTATCATTTATTGTATGGAACCTGTCACCACCTACCTGTGCAATGTACAAAATCTTGATTTGTATGTGTTTAAACGTTTGTATAAAAATTAGAGATTTAATTTGTAAAAAGTGTTTTTATTTCATTGAAAATCGTTCAATTGTAACTGCACTGGTATTAATTATTGATTATAGAATGGTATTAAAGTAGTATCGCGTGCCCGTGTGCTCGCGGCATGAGGTCGGCCACATACATACGGAATTCCGTTTCGGGATTCCGTGAATATATCACACACACGTTTATAACCGTTGGGAATAACAATATCCATTGAGTCTAGACATTCTGCCAGCGAATAATGACTACGATTTTCTAATTGAAATTCCATTATTACTATATCATTGTTACTGTGTGCATCCCCTTATCATCCTAAGCTTGCAATATATTCAATAATAAGCAAAAATATCTATCTATCGAGAGATATTTTTTAAATTTGGATGTTTGTAAACACTTTCGACGAATTATTAAGCAAAATAAGATGAAAGGTTAAGAAAAGCTGTACACATATAAGATTAAATGTAAAAATATATATAAACACACCTACTCGCTTCGGTTCGGTCGTGCGACGAACACTGAACGCGTTTCGTACGGAATTTACAAATGTGAGTTGTGACTCCATTGAAATATACAAGACATATAAATCAATGTGTGACTCAAACAAAATCTATGGAAGACTTGCGTTTGGAGCGGCTTTTTTCCGTTCGGGATTCCGAACGCACAGGCTGCCATACGGAATCTTGAATCGGAGAAAATTCCGTACGGAAAATTATCGTACGTGTTTATATGGGATTCCGAACGGGTCGGCCACACATATATGGACAATTTCGAACGGAAAACTACCGTACGTGTCATAGATTTTATATGAACTTGCTGCGTTCGGCATCTCGAATCGGAATCCCGAAACGGAATTCCGTATATATGTGGCGGGCTTTAAAGAACCCATCACTCCATTTCGTCCCATGGGTGTTATAAAAGACGATGGGAAATACCATGTTAATTTTATGGCTTCCGATAGAGGGCGGTATTACCATTTAGCATATGTCTTACATCAGATGTACGACGTAAGATAACCAGATCGACAACGGGCGATTCGATCGTCAATCCGTCTGCTTAGCGTTGCGATTAAGGCATTCCTTCTCTAGAACAATATAGTAAGTATAATATTATGTTGTGCATGCATGCAAGCTTCAGTCAGACTGTAAAGCCGAACGTCCACCGCAAACTAAACTAAGTTTATCTTAGCTCGCATTGCTGAGCCAGCATACATGTGCGTCCGCCGCAAACTATGCCAGCCAAGCGAGGTAAAATAGCCAAACTAAGTCAAACTAAGTTGTATAGGTCGATACGAAACTACGCGAACTAAGCTACGAGGGTGGGTCAATAAGTCCGTGACTTTTGGAATAAAACACAGATTTTTTGATAAATAAATCATTTTATTTTTCAACGTAGTCTCCCTTGAGCTCTATACACTTTGTCCAATGCTTCTCCAATTTTTTATCCCTTCCAAAAAATATGATTTGTCGAGGTCCTCAAAATAGGCCTTTGTTTGCGAGATGACTTCATCATTGGATTCAAATCTTTTTCCACCAAGCCATTTCTTCAGGTTTGGGAACAAGAAATAGTCACTCGGAGCCAAATCTGGAGAATAGGGCGGATGAGGGAGCAATTCATAGCCCAATTCATGGATTTTAGCCATGGCAACTGCACATGTGTGCACCCTTGCATTGTCTTGGTGGAAAAGAACTTTTTTCTTGGCCAAATGAGGTAGGTTTTTTTTCAAATTGTCATTGAATTGGTCCAATAAGTTGGCATAATATTCCCCATTGATTGTTCTTCCCTTTTGAAGGTAGGCAATGTGGATTATCCCGCGTGCATCCCAAAAAACAGTCGCCATAACTTTATTGGCTGACAAACCCACCTTGGCCTTCTTTGGCGCCGATTCACCCTTAGAAACCCACTGTTTTGACTTGTTGTTTGGTCTCTGGTGTGTTGTGATGGATCCATGTTTCGTCCACGGTTACAAAACGGCGCAAAAACTACTCTATATTGCGATTAAACAACGCCAAACCTTCCTGTGAAGTTGTTATACGATTGCGTTTGTGGTCGACTGTGAGCAAACGCGGCACCCATCTTGCGGAAAGCTTTCTCATGCCCAAGTGATCATTCAAAATTGAAACCACTGAGCCATGCGAGATCCCTACGGTTTCCACGATCTCTTGCACTTTCAATCTTCGGTCGGCCAACACCATATCGTGAATTTTTTTGATTGTTTTGGGTGAAGAGACCTCAACTGGGCATCCAGGACGTTCGGCATCTTCAGTGCTTGTACGGCCACAACGAAATTCAGTAAACCACTTTTTTACCATTGAAATCGATGGTGCAGAGTCCCCATAGTATTTATCAAGCTTAGCCTTGGTCTCAGTAATGTTTTTTTTTTTCGCAAAAAATAATGCTTAATAAGCACACGAAATTCACTTTTTTTCATTTTTTCCTCAACTTACTGGGTAGACTGATAAAGATAGATGTCAAACACAAACTAACTGACGCAGCAAGTTCTAATTTTGACAGGAGTCAACTGACAGATGCCTGTTGACAGGAGTAGTGTTGCTTTTTCAGTAAAGAGGTCGGAAATTCAAAAAGTCACGGACTTATTGACGCGCCCTCGTAAGCACATACGACGCACTAAGAGTCATACTGCAGCTACTCGTATATCAATAGTATAGTTGTAGCTTGTGGTACGAATGGGTCGGTACGACCGGGGTAGGAAAGAGCAGCTTAATGCTGCTGTGTTTCGTATGATGAGTGTAGAGAACCGGAGACCCTTTTTACTGGAAACAAAGTGTTCCATCTTAGTACTCACAGGTGACAACACTTTTAATTCTTAGTTGATAATGGATGTAGATGTCTATAGGCCACAGCAACTACTTACCATCAGGTGGACTGTGAGCTCCTTTGTCATCTTTATCTTAGTAAGAAAAACCTTTGAACTTTAGAAAATGTCAATTTTTCCGCAGTCAATTAATCATTTAACCTTAGTCCTCAGGGGTGACAATGCATCTCCATTTTGAAATCAAGGATAAATGTAGGTGGGTATAGGTCACAACATTCACTTATAAGTTGCGGCACGAAAGTCTAGCGGTGACCGTTATTGCGTATAAGTCGAAAATAAGGTATCATGGAATAGTAAGCGGGTGCGTCGTTTGCATGCGCTGATTGGCTCTCCAGTCGCATTCCGTCCCCCGTACTGATACGACGCCCCGCGCACTTCCAGTGTACAGTCACGTTCTAAATTGTATAGTTATTGCAGTTAATTTTTGTTGTAGTTTTTTTTTTATTAAGTTTGAGTTTGTTAATTTGTTTTTTATTAAGTTTGTTTGTGACTTTAAACAGTGAATATGCCTAGAAGAAATACTGTTTTGAGAAAACAGGCACGGAACATGGTGTATGACGTGCAGTGTTTTTTTAAAAGAGAATCTAATGAATTGAATTGATTCTTTAAAACAAATCAAAAGTGAGATTGGCGAAGCTACGAGTATTTTACTCAGTCATTCCGATAGTAGCACTGTAAATTTAAGCCAGATAAAACAAGAAGTTATTAAGGTAGGAAGTATGAGATTAAATAGTATAATCAGTAACTTGAAACCAAAAAGAAAAATCATTACTTTAATTAATTAATTGCTATATACTATTAATTAAAGTAATGATTGTATGACTATCGTGTGACTACTTTTTTTATTGAAAAGAAATGACACACTTTCGTGCTTCTCACTCGGCACACTTTTTAGATACTACATTGGGTTTATTATATTTTAAAGTGGGTGGTAATAAAATTCATAAACAACAATAACACTACATATTATATTACTGCTTGACTTACTATATTGTTTGATAACTAACAAATCACAGATATTTTGCAGTCCATACACTACAAGATTCTACTGCACGGTTTAGGTTTAGGATATTGTACAACAATAAACATAGTAGCTTCGAAAACAAAATACACATTAGGAAGATAACTGTCTGGAAAAATTGGGTTACATTTTATTGTATCTTTTAAATGAAACAATGTCAAATTCTAATAGTCTGCAAACTCTAAGAGGGTATCAAAATCTTAGCCAATGTAGCAGGTACCGTCTATGGTTCAGTCTATCAGAGAGAAATATAAAGTAAATATAGTTAACTGGCATTAAAACACTGTAAAGTATCGGATTAGTCTTCTTATCAAGCTGAGCAGTAGCATAAGCCATCATTACCAAAGACCCTTTCAAGTATAAAAAACCTCCTCAGTCTATAGACTAGCCCTGAGTAAGTAACTATATAAGTTACTAACTCAGGGCACAGCAATGATGAAATCTCCATGAAAAAAAAATAGTTTGTAAATGGTATTTTTACCACTGTCGGTAGATTATAAATTTTTAAAAGGTATATATAGTGAAATAAGTACCAAAGCACAAGTAATCTCCGATTCCGAGACAAGTCACAAGTTGGGATGAGATCTCTCGAGGTTTAACGCTTAGAATCCGTATTACGGATGCTGCTCCAGTAACATTTGTAAACTGATTGGTTGATCTTGATTTGTTTTTTGTACATTCTGTTCTCATATATACTGGTATCCTACTTCCAATAATGAAAGGCTTCTCGCCACCATTTTCATGTCGAAATTATTATGTTTTTGTTAATTTCTATTAAATATATCAATCGGTCGATTTTACCGTTCACTATGGGCATGGGGCAGGCATAGCCAGGGTTGAAATAACTTCTCTTGCAGAGTTCAGGTCAGGTTTGTCCCTTCCTAGCTAAGCTAAGCCGCTGTCGCTGTCGAATGTTTTTTTTTCTACAACAGATTAGCTGAAGAAGTAGACGGAATCCAAAACACTTTTTATATCGAAATCGCCTTTCCCGGGCACTTTCTCAAGTAAACTGTTAACACGTTTCTTGTTCACCGAGCCCACGCTGCCTTCTTCAATTTCACTGAAAAAAGACGATAGTTAATGATATCTTAAATAGTTTTGTGAGACCACTTAGTGGAAAACTTTTACTTAATGGATTATAACATTGAGAATCAATTTTAATACTGATAATTTAGGGCACAGAATAGGTTTATTTTCGTATTATAAATAACAACTGATAAATAACCAGTTTTTAGCGCTCGCTATAAGTTTCCAATGAAATCATTAATTGCAATTTTATGTGCTGATTTACCACGTGCTCGGCGGTGAAGGAAATCATCGTGAGGTAAAATATTTTTTTAGTGAAAATATTTTTTTTTCTTATTTCTCAGACATGTAGCTATATGTCTGAGAAATAAGAAAAAAAATATTTTGAAGACGTGAAGTTCGCCAACACGCATTGCGGCAGCTCGGCGTACATTTCCTTGCCCTAAATGAGAGAAATCCTGTGCCCAAAAGTGGGACGTATGAAAGATTCTGATGTCATAATTAACGAAGGCTACCTTCACCAAAAATTAAAAACAGAACGTCGGGGAAGGGCCATTCAAATGCATGTTTCTTGCGAGATTAAAACCCGCAACCCACACTATACAAAGCAAAACCATTTGATTTTTTTACCTTTCAGGGTAACTGTATCTCTTCACGAGGAATTTCGATAAGTCCTCTAGAATAGGTTGCGAGTGTAGAGCGACAAATTGCTCGCGGCATATCTGAAACAAAATTACTTCGGTTATGTCATGACACTTGAACCTAGGTATTCCCCATTGTTTTTCTTATTATAGTAACCAGTACTTGACTACAACCCAACCTGGTGATTAAAATTTGTAAATTAATTGGTTAAAAGTAATTGTATGTTATAGCAGTTATATTGAATTATATAGTATTACTCTATTGTGCAGAGCCGCAGAGGTAGCTTCAGATGGTTAGCGCTCGCTGTAAATTTCACATTATACGAGCAAATCGGGTTCGATGCTCGCCGGCACCAATGAAATTGTTAATTGCAATTTTAAGTGCTGATTTACCACGTGCTCGGCGGTGAAGGAAACCCGCATGTCTGAAATAAGAAAAATAAATATTTCGAAGACATGTGAAGTTCGCCAACACGCAGTAGGGCAGTGCGGCGGACACTTCCTTTCCCTAAAACCCTCTCAGAAATGAGTGGAGGTCTATGCCCAGCAGTGTAACTATAACTTTATGTGATTGAATAACTAACGTTAAAACATCTTGAGAAACTTTAACATTGGTAAAGGAAATAAATATCAATATTTGCGTAGAGCTCACGAAATTTATACCATAACGCACTAGAAACGGTAACATACAGGTTGTAGCCATACTTTTGTAACTAGACCAAAATGGTTGCTAGATATAGTGCAATGGTACAGCCACCGTAAAAGCCTAGTTTTAAAGTGGTTATCATCACTAATATAAGAAAGTCACTGTGTAGTACACTATATATATATTGATATGGTCACTATAAGATGTTGTTAGGTTAGCTAATTAAGTAATTAGTTGAGACAGAATGACCCTTAAGAGTAGCGACTGAATAAATTAACCAATTTAGTATTACATGGATCTCAGAACTTTTTACGGTAGAAGAACTGAGTTGCGAGACTTGGTTTTTTTTTACAAGTTATGTTTTTGATGGCATCTCATTTCGTTTTGTAGATAGTCCTACTTTTTTTGTTTCCGGTACTATCTACTTCTTGAATACCAACTACGGATTACAGAAACACTGATTCATTCACTGCAAATGTAACTTTGTAATCCTATATGGATTACACTTGGTGTATCTAGAAAACTTCACCGAAATTACAAAATATTTTAGTTTTTCCTTGATTTATACACAAAACACTAATTGTATTCTAAATTTGAAGCTTCTACGTCTGCTAGAAATGTCTTAGAGTTTTGATGATCGGTCAGTTAGTGACAATATTAAGAAACTTTGACTAGTTATAATTCTTAAACTACTGGTTCAAATTGAATGAAATTTGAAATATACCGTGCTTATACAATGCATTCTTGGTTACTGCAAATTCAGGCTTCTAGTTTTATCTACAACGAAGTTCGATAGGGGGTCGAAAATAACCTGAACTGCTTCGAGAAAAGGATGGTACGGTCGTGCCGCTTATTTGCTCGACTTGGCGGGGGCACTGCCGTGCTCCCTCCCAGATGAACTCGCATACTAATAACGAACGTAAATAGAAGTTACAAAAGCGGTGTACTTTTATATTTTAATTGAAGCATTGTCGATAGACTGCATTCGGACATATTAGTTTTGTATGGAAATAATGGATTAATAGTTTCATGAACCAAAATATTGTGTTATCTGAAGGTTTGTGGATTTTATTTGCGACTATCTATTTGTAATGTTTTCATTTTAATACAATAAATAAAATTCTATAGTAAAAAATATAAAACACTATGTGCTGTATTTAATTAGATATTTTCTCAATAAGCACAATTTCTGAGCCCCACCCGTTGTCGACGGTAGTGGGACGTGTGGAGGTGAAAGTACGCACCTTGTTCATGGCGTCCACGGCGGCGGGGTGCGTCCAGTAGCAGTCGTGCACGGACAGAAGGGATGGGGAGGGGCAGGACACGCGCTACGTACCTTGTTCATGGCGTCCACGGCGGCGGGGTGCGTCCAGTAGCAGTCGTGCACGGACAGAAGGGATGGGGAGGGGCAGGACACGCGCTACGTACCTTGTTCATGGCGTCCACGGCGGCGGGGTGCGTCCAGTAGCAGTCGTGCACGGACAGAAGGGATGGGGAGGGGCAGGACACGCGCTACGTACCTTGTTCATGGCGTCCACGGCGGCGGGGTGCGTCCAGTAGCAGTCGTGCACGGACAGAAGGGATGGGGAGGGGCAGGACACGCGCTACGTACCTTGTTCATGGCGTCCACGGCGGCGGGGTGCGTCCAGTAGCAGTCGTGCACGGACAGAAGGGATGGGGAGGGGCAGGACACGCGCTACGTACCTTGTTCATGGCGTCCACGGCGGCGGGGTGCGTCCAGTAGCAGTCGTGCACGGACAGAAGGGATGGGGAGGGGCAGGACACGCGCTACGTACCTTGTTCATGGCGTCCACGGCGGCGGGGTGCGTCCAGTAGCAGTCGTGCACGGACAGAAGGGATGGGGAGGGGCAGGACACGCGCTACGTACCTTGTTCATGGCGTCCACGGCGGCGGGGTGCGTCCAGTAGCAGTCGTGCACGGACAGAAGGGATGGGGAGGGGCAGGACACGCGCTACGTACCTTGTTCATGGCGTCCACGGCGGCGGGGTGCGTCCAGTAGCAGTCGTGCACGGACAGAAGGGATGGGGAGGGGCAGGACACGCGCTACGTACCTTGTTCATGGCGTCCACGGCGGCGGGGTGCGTCCAGTAGCAGTCGTGCACGGACAGAAGGGATGGGGAGGGGCAGGACACGCGCTACGTACCTTGTTCATGGCGTCCACGGCGGCGGGGTGCGTCCAGTAGCAGTCGTGCACGGACAGAAGGGATGGGGAGGGGCAGGACACGCGCTACGTACCTTGTTCATGGCGTCCACGGCGGCGGGGTGCGTCCAGTAGCAGTCGTGCACGGACAGAAGGGATGGGGAGGGGCAGGACACGCGCTACGTACCTTGTTCATGGCATCCACGGCGGCGGGGTGCGTCCAGTAGCAGTCGTGCACGGACAGAAGGGATGGGGAGGGGCAGGACACGCGCTACGTACCTTGTTCATGGCGTCCACGGCGGCGGGGTGCGTCCAGTAGCAGTCGTGCACGGACAGAAGGGATGGGGAGGGGCAGGACACGCGCTACGTACCTTGTTCATGGCGTCCACGGCGGCGGGGTGCGTCCAGTAGCAGTCGTGCACGGACAGAAGGGATGGGGAGGGGCAGGACACGCGCTACGTACCTTGTTCATGGCGTCCACGGCGGCGGGGTGCGTCCAGTAGCAGTCGTGCACGGACAGAAGGGATGGGGAGGGGCAGGACACGCGCTACGTACCTTGTTCATGGCGTCCACGGCGGCGGGGTGCGTCCAGTAGCAGTCGTGCACGGACAGAAGGGATGGGGAGGGGCAGGACACGCGCTACGTACCTTGTTCATGGCGTCCACGGCGGCGGGGTGCGTCCAGTAGCAGTCGTGCACGGACAGAAGGGATGGGGAGGGGCAGGACACGCGCTACGTACCTTGTTCATGGCGTCCACGGCGGCGGGGTGCGTCCAGTAGCAGTCGTGCACGGACAGAAGGGATGGGGAGGGGCAGGACACGCGCTACGTACCTTGTTCATGGCGTCCACGGCGGCGGGGTGCGTCCAGTAGCAGTCGTGCACGGACAGAAGGGATGGGGAGGGGCAGGACACGCGCTACGTACCTTGTTCATGGCGTCCACGGCGGCGGGGTGCGTCCAGTAGCAGTCGTGCACGGACAGAAGGGATGGGGAGGGGCAGGACACGCGCTACGTACCTTGTTCATGGCGTCCACGGCGGCGGGGTGCGTCCAGTAGCAGTCGTGCACGGACAGAAGGGATGGGGAGGGGCAGGACACGCGCTACGTACCTTGTTCATGGCGTCCACGGCGGCGGGGTGCGTCCAGTAGCAGTCATGCACGGACACGAAGGCGAGCCCGGCCGCGCCGCAGTGCAGCCCCGTCAGCATCATGTGCGTCGAGTCCAGCGAGTGGATGAAGTTCGGCGGGAACGCGTTGCGCTGCTTCATCGTGCACGGACGTCTGCACAACCATAAATGTCACATTACATCTCGAGTACCCGAGTTTGCACAGCGTTCAAAATTTTTTTAGGAATGGTTGACACCTATCATAAACTTGCAAAGATCTAAATGTGTACAAAATGTTTATCCAAATCGTCAGTCGTTTTTGAGAAACAACATTACATACATATACACAAGAATTTGATGATTTAACTGAAATATTATGAGTAGTTGAGATTTTTCATACTCCCAGCAGTGAATGATTACTTTTCGGTTCCGTTAATCATCACTTGCAACACGCATTGTTTGTTTATTTCAAAAACAGGCAAATTCGATTCGTTGGTTAAACTCTCTTTTTTATAGAATAAGGGTGACAAGCACACACTTCATCTGGTACCATGGTATGTGAATGCGGTAGCCTATAGACATCTACGAGTACATCCACACTCGATTAAAAATCAAAATGCAAAATATGCGTTGTCAGCCCTGAAGGCTAAGATGGAACGCCTCCTTTCCAATAAAAAGGGTCTTCAGTTCTCTACACCCACCGTACGAAACACAGAAGCATTGACCTGGTATTCTGAGAAAGCGTGGTCCTGCCCCGATCGAGCCGATTTATTCGTGCTTTAACCGTAATATTGCTGCAAAATGGCTCTACCGTGTAAAAGCTCTTAGGTTTTCTGCGTGAAAAATCCCATAACCAGACTACCTGTAATAAGAATAACTGACATTCGGATTCAGTTAGAATTTACGGTTTGATCCCTTCGGTTAAGGATAATGGCACCTCGGAGAACTGCCAACCGATATGGAAGAAAGGTTCTCGAGTGTCAGTCTCATACTGACAAAATGTAGTGTTAGATGGTTCTACGCTAGATGGAGTGACGACTAGATGAAACATGCACGGAACTGCAATGAACGCTCTGGCCGCACGCTACACTGTACCGTGCAGTGTGTACTCACTGGTGCTGGTCGAGCGGCGCGCTGGCGTGCGCGTGCTGGTAGGGCGCGCGGCGGTAGTAGGGCTGCACCACGGGCAGTCCTAGCGGCGTCACCCACTCCACACTTTCTCCACATACGCCGGAAATCAACCTTCAAACAAAAAATCTCTCTCAAAACCTCATTTCTAAAAATCAAATCGCCAAATGAAATTACTATTGCAGAATTTTGCGAAGATAAGCCAGATAATTAATATTAGTGGCCACCCAAGGTCGAAATTCGTAATTCTTAAAATGTTTAAATTTGTATTATCAAGCAAGCTATATTTTACTTTCATCTGCACATTAATATATATAACATACCTATCTAATCATCATTCATCATCATCATTACAGCCTTTCATAAGTCCACTGGTGAACATAGGCCTCCCCCAAAGAATGCCACAAAGCACGGTCCTGAGCCACCTGCATCCATCGACTTCCTGCATGTTTTACTAGGTCGTCACTCCATCTCGTGGGGGGTTGCCCTAAACTTCGCCTACCGGTACGAGGCTGCCACTCAAGAACCTTTCTTCCCCATCGGTTGTCGGTTCTTCGAGCTATATGGCCGGCCCACTGCCACTTCATCTTACTAATCCATTGGGCTATGTCGGTTACTCTGGTTCTACTGCGGATATCCTCATTCCTAAGTTTATCACGCATAGAAACTCCGAGCATAGACCTCTCCATAGCTCGCTGAGCGACCTTGAGCTTCCTCATACGGCCAGCAGTGAAGGACCACGTCTCAGATCCGTAATTCATCACCTATCTAATAATGTACAAAATATAAAATAGACGCTATTTCGCCTGGATATATACTAAACAGACTATTTAAAAAGGAACATTTAAAATCACACAACATTTATAGCTCATTCAATCAATGTGTCAGTAACTATTTGTTAGCAACATTTTACAATCCTTTGGCGACAATCTGTACTCTCTGCAAAAAACGTAGTATATAAGTAGCGGCACAAAAGTCTAGAGGTAACCGTTATTGCGCATAAATCGCGCTGATCGGCTCGTGCGTACCGTTCGCACGCGCTGATTGGCTGTCCAGTCGCATTCGTGCAATCCAATTCGTGCGCGTGGGGACGCGTCCACGTTTCGTTCAGCGCTAGACTTACGTGCCGCGACTTGTAATTATAATATTATAGTCTTTGCACTGTGCAACAGGCTGACCACAGAATATTGTGTTTGAAACGTAGATTAATAAGTATTTGAAATTGGCAGTATGAACGTAACGATGAATGTATTATTTAATTTATTTGCAACACATTATATCTAAATTTTAGCTTCTGCACTCTTTCTTCAAATAAACTAACTATGCCAAATCTAACACTCCTCCGGGCGTGCAAGATTTAAAAGGGGTACAAAGTTTACCCTTCACGTATTAATATAAAGATTATAATATGTAAAGAATATCTGTAGCATAAGGTTAATGATCTCAGGCACGAAGTTTTGAAACATTATTAACTATCTCGCTCGCACTCATTGGCTTGAAACGAGGCTTCAACTGGGCATATATAATGTTAACTATATTCGACGTGGATTGAACGAGGTGAAACAGTCGCTTGGCCACCGCGTTCTCTGGACTTGACCCCCTTGATTTTTACTTGTGGAGCACAATGAAGCAGAAAGTAAACGTCGACGTGCCAAATACACGCGAGGAACTTATTGAAAAAATTATACAAGTTGTTGTCTGCAACACCACGGAGGACATTTGGAAACGAGGCTGTAACTTTTGCATTGATTTTGACAGAATAAACCATTATGGTAATCGGTTTATTTTGTTTTATTTTTCTTTTTCTACACCAGGGTTAGAAACACTGCCATGGTAAAATCATCATAACTTCTAAACCTAGGGCTAAGATGTAAGACATATTTTTAAGCACACATTCTGTACTAACTAACGTTCAAAAAAAATATGTAGCTTGACAGTTAAGATTTTAAGAAAAAGCTAATAATTTTTAAAAAATGTAAAAAACAAAAACTTTTTTTGTTATTAAAATTCACTTTTGCTCTTTTATAAAAAAGATATGGCAAAATTGTTCTCATTGATTTATTGTATACATTATTAGTGCCGTGTAGTGGCGGTCAAGAATATCCACTACCCCATATCCTCCCGTGGGTGTCGTAAAAGGCGACAAAGGGAAACAGCCAGGAGATGGGCAGCAGCATCTTCCTGATAATAGCCAAATTACAATAAAAAAACTGCGGTTGCCAACCCGCTCGCCAAGCGTGGCAACTATGGCAAATACCCCCCAATGATGAGAGCAACAAAAAAACGGCCCCCAGTCCCCGGCGGCCCCGCTATTCCTGGCTACGGTGGCGACCATGGTAACGGCGGGGCAGGGGGTGCTAAGAATCTCCGGTGGAGGTTCGGTTGCCACCTTAGACGACTCGACCTGGCAACGTACAACGCACGCACCCTGAGGACTGACGAGAAGATCGTGGAGCTGGAAGAAGAGATAGACAAGTTGCGCTGGCATATTATAGGATTATCCGAAGTCCGAAGAGAGGGGGAGGACACGGTAATCCTCGAATCCGGCAACTTGCTCTATCACCGGGAGGGCGACCATCTGTCCCAAGGAGGTTTCGGATTTATCGTCCACAAGTCTCTCGTTAACAACGTTGTAAAAATCGGGAGTGTGTCGACGAGGGTTGCGTACCTTATACTCAGAATCACCAAACGCTATTCGCTGAAGGTCATACAGGTTTACGCACCAACCTCGGCACACCCCGATGAGGAGGTGGAGGAAATGTATGAGGATATCTCTAGAGCCATGCATTCCTCCAAAACCCAATATACGGTGTTAATGGGAGACTTCAATGCAAAACTAGGCACAAGAGAGAACGGTGAGCTGAAAGTAGGGAAATTTGGAATAGGGCAACAGAACCCAAGGGGCCAGCAGCTGGCCGACTTCATGGAGAAAGAGGGACTCTTTATGATGAACTCTTTCTTCCAGAAGCGGCCCCACAGGAAGTGGACCTGGTCGAGCCCCGACGGTTCCACAAAAAATGAGATTGACTTCATTATGACGACCAGACGACAACTGTTCAGTGATGTCTCCGTGATCGCGAGGGTGAAAACTGGTAGCGATCACCGAATGGTTAGAGGCACACTGAACCTAAACGTTAAGTTGGAGAGGTCTCGTCTAATGAAGTCAACGCTCCGTCCCCCTCGTGCTCTGTTCCAAAGTCCCGAAACCTTTCAGCTCGAGTTACAAAACCGTTTTCAGTGCCTGGAAGACTGCAATGAAGTGGACGATATGAATGACAAGCTCGTGGAAACTGTCCATGCGGTTGGAGCTAAGTTCTGCAAGACCCGCCGCAGAAGAACACAAAAACTCTCCGATCACACTCTTAATCTCATGGCTGTTAGACGGGAGATGAAGCTACATTCTTCAACAGACTTGACAGCATACAGGCATCTGAACAGACAGATCTCCAAATGCATGCGGCGGGACTTACGCAACTTCAATACAGCTCGTATTGAAGAAGCGATCGAGCGGAACCAAGGCTCCAAAGTCTTTGCCAGAGATCTGTCTGCCAGAAAGAGCCAACTGTCAAAGCTGAAGACAGAGTGTGGCAGCATCGTTTCCGGGACACCTGAGATTTTGAGTGAGATTGAGAGGTTCTATGGGCAGCTGTACACATCATCGTTGGAGCCACACGCAGGTGTGAGTAACGATCCAAGAGCGAGTCTCATCCGACACTATTCCGAAGATATCCCGGATTTCAGTCTGAGCGAGATTAGGATGGCTCTCCAGCACCTTAAAAACGGTAAGGCCCCAGGCGAGGATGGAATTACAGCGGAGCTTCTGAAAGCGGGTGGAAGACCGGTACTTGAAGTCCTTCAGAAGCTCTTTTAATTCCGTCCTCCATGGTGGCATTACACCGGAGACGTGGAGCAGAAGTGCGGTGGTCTTGTTCTTCAAGAAAGGTGACAACGCTCTCTTGAAGAACTACAGACCGATTTCCCTTCTGAGCCGCGTCTACGTGCTGTTTTCGAGAGTCATTACGAATCGTCTCGCGCGCAGACTTGACGACTTCCAGCCTCCCGAACAAGCCGGTTTCCGAAAGGGCTTTAGCACCATAGACCACATACATACCCTTCGGCAAGTTGTACAGAAGTCCGAAGAGTACAATTTGCCACTATGTCTGGCGTATGTGGACTATGAGAAAGCCTTTGATTCCGTCGAAATTTGGGCGGTGCTGCAGTCCCTTCAGCGGTGCCAAGTTGACTGTCGGTATATCGAAGTGTTGAAGTGCTTGTACAGTAGGGCTACGATGGCTATCCGAGTACAGAACCAGAGTACGAAACCTATCCAATTGCAGAGAGGTGTAAGACAGGGTGACGTCATATCCCCGAAACTCTTCACCGCTGCATTGGAAGACGTTTTCAAGCTTCTGGACTGGAAAGGATACGGTATCAACATCAATGGCGAGTACATCACTCACCTTCGATTTGCCGACGATATAGTCCTTATGGCAGAATCGCTGGAGGACCTAAGCACTATGCTCAATGACCTCAATAGTGTTTCCCAACGGATAGGTCTTAAGATGAACATGGACAAAACTAAGATCATGTTTAATGTCCATGTCACACCCATAGTTGTTGGGAACACTAAGCTCGAAGTTGTTGACGAGTATGTTTACCTGGGACAAATAGTCCGACTGGGTAAGTCCAACTTCGACCGAGAGGTCAATCGACGGATTCAACTCGGCTGGGCAGCGTTCGGGAAGCTACGACACATCTTCTCGTCAGACATACCTCAAAACCTTAAAACGAAATTGTACAACCAGTGCGTGTTGCCAGTGATGACTTACGGAACTGAGACGTGGTCCTTCACTGCTGGCCGTATGAGGAAGCTCAAGGTCGCTCAACGAGCTATGGAGAGGGCTATGCTCGGAGTTTCTCTGCGTGATAAACTTAGGAATGAGGATATCCGCAGTAGAACCAGAGTGACCGACATAGCCCAACGGATTAGTAAGCTGAAGTGGCAGTGGGCCGGCCATATAGCTCGAAGAACCGACAACCGATGGGGAAGAAAGGTTCTCGAGTGGCAGCCTCGTACCGGTAGGCGAAGTGTAGGGCGTCCCCCCACGAGATGGAGTGACGACCTGGTAAGACATGCAGGAAGTCGATGGATGCAGGTGGCTCAGGACCGTGTTTTGTGGCATTCTTTGGGGGAGGCCTATGTTCAGCAGTGGACTTGTGAAGGGCTGTAATGATGATGATGATACATTATTAGTTATGAAACGAGTCTTTTTTCGTCTTCCTACGAGCTCTACATGGGTAGCTATGGCTTAGTCAGTACAAGCATCATCGTGCATCGAGGCAAAAAAAAAACAAAATAGCTGCCATTTCATCATGGAGAGAAAAAAAATAGGGATAGTGATTTGTCAATAAAATTTACCGTATTTCACCCCCCAAAGTCTCAGACACTGATGTACACTTTTTTAACTGACGCATAATGCCAATCAAGTATATACACACAGTACAGTTTTTGTTTTGTTATGTTTGCTACCGATTCCTGTGAGCATTAGATTAAGTGTTATCTTCACATTTGTTTATTATATTTAAGAGTGAAGAGTGAATATTGAGTAGAAAGTAGGTGAATTATTTTTAGAGACTGATTTGCCTTTTGCCGATGCCTGTATAATATATAAAAAAATATTTCCTCATGCCATCTTAAATCAAGTAATGTTAAATTCGATGGGAGGTAGAAAAAGATTCCCATAATCGACACGCCATGATATTTTTCTGGATATTATAGTCGGCTCTTACGAAACCAACGGGCTAAGATTGGGTGGTGAATTCTCCACATTAAGCAAAAACAAATTTGGCTTGCCTTATTCTGACTCTGGGCACTACACTGTATGTAAGATCCATGACTTGACTAACTGCCCACAGTGACCTTTAATTTTGAATAATTAATAATTAGGTGGCAACCGAACCTCCACCGGAGATTCTTACCATCCCCTGCCCCGCGTTGCCATGGTCGTCACCGTAGCCAGTAATAGCGGGGCTGACGGGGACTGGGGGCAGTCTCTTCGTTACTATCATGGGAGGTATAATGCCATAGTTGCCACGCTTGGCGAGCGGGTTGGCAACCGCAGTTTTTTAATGTTGTTTTGCTGTTATCAGAAAGATGCTGCTGCCCATCCTCTGCTTCAGTTTCCCTCTGTCGCCTCATACGACATCCACGGGAAGATATGGGATAGTGAGAATTCTTACCCGCCATTACACGGGGAATGTTATCTGTACAATTTAAAAAACTTAATAATATATGGCTTATAGGACAAGCGTCCAAGCCAAAAATATTAATAAAAGAACTAATAATATATGTTGCTTTTAAGAATAAATTAACAAAAGTCTATGATCAGAGTGAGAGAAGGAGCTTTAAGTTCCTGCAATTACAAAATAATATTCATTTAACACATTTCTGAACGAAAAATGGTCTTACTTGGCACAATCAGTAAGCCAGTCCTGAATGAGCTTCGTTGAGGTAAACATCTCTCTTAAACTGTCAAATGTTTTCATCGTCAGGTACTGAGAACACGACCATACATGCTCTTTTGGAAAATCTTCAATATCTGTAACAATATACTACAATAATAGTATGAAATATGTATCATGTCATAGCTCAACATTGACTTATTATATTAAAAAAAAAACAACGTATAGGTAATATAAGAAATTATGACGTTTTACTTTTAATCACAAGCTAATATAATGGTAAACCTAGGCATTAGACTGTAGACGGAGGAGAACCTAGGCTTTGAACAGTTGTGGGATAGTTAATAATACTTATACAGTATGTTATATTTTATGGGTATATCTAACCTATCTAATCAGGTAGGATATCGCAAAATCGGGAAGGCTGCGCCGGTAGATTTAGAAGCCGCGTAGGAAAGCGCACGTCGTGTTCCGGTGCACCTTAGCTAAGAAGGAGATGGGCGAGGAGTTGTCCTTTACCAAGAGGGGGCTGCCATGAGGCAGCCGGCACGTGCGATATAAAACGTCCTTGCCCCCGTGAAGCAGGTATGCGTAAGCATTTCCCATTGTAAAATAAAAAAGGGTCAATAGAGATCAAAATCGCACCCTCTAAATATTGTTACCCACGTGGCCCGACTATCACCCGCGCCCGTAATTTTTATGCGGGGTATTTCTATATTTATCCTCTCAAAAGGATTACATAAACATATTGTTACGAGCTTCGGGTTCGAGACAATTAAAAACTGCCGACTGAATTACCAAAATTGACACTTTAATTACACAACACTAATTACAATCAAAAATCACACTAATAATAAAACACAGTTCGCCGTTATTTCGCTTCGAAGTATTCTCTTGTATCGCCAATTCAATACTGCCTTGGTCGTGGTCCATACCGGCCTTATATAGGGCCTCAGACAGTTTCCAGAACCTTCTACTGTAGCGACATCTAGAATGTTCGAGTACATATCGGTCCCGAAATTTCTGGAAGGATCTCGACTCTCCTAGTTCTGCTACTCGACACTAGAGGGCGCTAGTGTAACTAGTGTTGCCATGTACAAGACATTAATAGTGGCGCGTAACACTGCCCCCTCCTAAGACATGCTCGTCCCGAGCATTATTGGCCCCATAATAACGCGCCAGTCGATCCACATGGACAATCTTAGGAGTACCTCTAACACCTTTCTGTATCCGGTAGGTTACGTCATTGATCCTTGTCACAATCCGGTACGGTCCGTCCCATTTAGCTTGAAGCTTAGGAGATTTCCCTTTGCTGCGAACTGGATTGTGTAACCACACTAGTGAACCTTCATCAAACCCCTTGTTGTTAATTTTGCGGTCATACCGTGTTTTCATCTTCTCAGACGTTTGCTAGCCCGTCTGTCTGACGTGCTCATAAATGTCATTCATTTTGTTCCGCAAGTCATTTGCATAATCGGTTGTACTGCGTGGGGCATCAGGTGGTATTCCGGTGATCAGGTCTGCAGACAGCCGCAATTCTCTCCCAAAGTTTACGAAAGCTGGTGTCACTGATGTACTTTCGTGAACAGCGCTTCGATATGACAACAAAAACGGTTGTATGTGCCTGTCCCAATCTCGTTGCCGTTTTTCCACAACTTTTGCTAGGTACCTCTCCAATGTCTGATTAAATCTTTCTACCATTCCATCAGATTGTGGGTGGTAAGAAGTTGTTCGTGTTTTCTGAGTACCCATAACTCGGCAAGTTTCCTGGAATATTTGAGACTCAAAATTCCTTCCTTGATCGCTGTGAATCTCTAAAGGTACTCCAAAACGACAGAAGACTTCATGAACTAGTTTATCTGCAACGGTTGAAGCTTCTTGATTTGGAATGACGAAGACTTCTTGCCACTTAGTGAAGTAATCCATCACAACCATGAAATACTTGTTACCACTTTCAGTTTCTGGAAACGGCCCCGCAACGTCAATGGCTATCCTCTCCCATGGTGCACCAACATTGTACAATTTCAATGCGCCTCTACTACGAATTTGAGGTCCCTTTACAGCCGCACAACTTGTACATTTGCGGCACCAGTCCTCGACATCGTCACGACAGTGGACCCAGTAAAACCGTTCTCGGATCTTCAGGAGAGTTCGTTTAACTCCCAGGTGGCCTCCTGAACAACCACTATGGTACAGCTGTAGAATATCCGGCACTTTAGCCTTAGGGACAACCATTTGCAAATGACACCTGTCTCCCCGACCATTTTCCCATTTACGGCACAGGACTCCATCTTGAATCAGCAAGCTGTCCCATTGGGCCCAATAGCTTTTCGTGGTCGAACTCATTGCTGAGACGTCGCTCCACTTGGGCTTAGGAGCACTGGCCTTCATCCATTCCAGAATCGGCTTAATGTCCGAATCTTCCTGCTGTGCATGTTGTAGGCTCTCCTTCCACTCATTGCTGAGCTGGTCTGTCCTGAGCATTCTCACAGATACCACTTCCTTACCCTCTTGCCTAGTACAATGCTTGCAATCTTCAGGGCAAGGTCTTCTTGACAATGCATCTGCATTGCCATGAGATTTCCCGCTGCGATGTTCGACCACAAAGTCGTATTCCTGCAGTAGTTCAATCCATCTCGCAACTTGTCCTTCCGGATTTTTGAACTGCAATAGCCATTTCAGTGCAGCATGGTCAGTTCGTAAGTGGAATTTCCGCCCTAGAAGATATTTGCTAAAATGCTGCAAGGACTTTACCACAGCAAGCAATTCCCGTCTTGTGACACAATAGTTCCTTTCCGGCTTTGACAACGACTTGCTGAAGTACGCTATCACAATCTCTTGATCACCATTCCGTTGAGACAACACACCGCCAAGTCCTATATCACTTGCGTCTGTGTCAACTATGAATTCCTTGCCCGCATCAGGGTACCCCAAAATAGGTGTTTTGCACAGACGGTTCTTGAGCTCCTGGAATGCAATATCGCAACTTTCATCCCAGCAGAATTGTCGCTTCTCCTCGGTTAGCTTGTGCAGAGGTTTGGCTATATCTGCAAAGTTCTTCACAAATCGCCGATAATAAGAGCACAAACCCAAAAATGCTCTAACCTGTGTCTTGTCTTTTGGGATCGGCCACTCCTTGACAGCAGCAATTTTCTCTGGATCCGTGCGGATACCTTCTTCCGACACTACATACCCCAAAAAACTAACTTGCCGTTTGAATAGTGAGCACTTCTTTGGACTCAACTTCAGGTTGGCACTCTGGATCTTCATGAGCACGCGTTCCAGGTTTTGAAGGTGTTCCTCAAACGTACGGCCTACGATGATGATGTCATCCAAATAGACGAGACAGGCATCTCCAATTAGCCCGGTAAGTACAAGCTCCATCAACCTTTCAAACGTTGCTGGAGCATTGCACAATCCAAACGGCATGACTTTAAATTGCCACAGGCCCTTTTCTGTGGAGAATGCAGTTTTCTCCTTGTCCTTAGGGTCAATTTCAACCTGCCAGTAGCCACTTTTCAGATACAGCGTACTAAACCACTTAACGCCTGTAAGCATGTCCAGCGTGTCATCAATTCTTGGCAAGGGATAGCTGTCCTTCTTTGTAACATCGTTCAGGCGGCGGTAGTCAACACAAAACCGCATGCTGCCGTCCTTCTTCTTTACCAGCACCACAGGTGAACACCATGGACTAGATGAAGGTTCAATAACACCATCCTTCACCATTCCCTCAATCATGGTTTCCACTTCCTTTTCACGTGCTACAGGCAATCTTCTTGGCCGCTGACGAATAGGCAATTCTTGTCCTGTGTTTATTTTGTGTTGAACTAAGCCAGTCTTTCCTATGTCAGCTTCGTTTGACGAGAAAACATTGGCGTAGAACTTCTTCGCTTTGACCGTTTCATTCGGGGAGAGAACGCTGCGACAGTCTTCTAAAAGTGTGGTCACTCTAGTCTGTCCATCCTTGCTGGGGGTCCCAGTCGATAGATATTCGCACCGATGCAACCAATCCACTTCCTCACTAGTACCAACCAATGTGCCTTTTTCTATAATCTGTTCCTGATCACAAAGGTTCAGCATACGTACTCCTGAGATGTCGGTGGTTCTGACCAAGGTTCGAGCCACTTTCCATGGAAGGTCATTGTCTACCCTTTCCACGAGTACACAACGAAGAGTTTGCCCAGGATTCCGTGGAAGTCTAACCGGCACAATCGTTTCCGATCTCGGCGGAAGAACAATCTTCTTAAGGCTGTACACATTCCCTGGTAACGCCCCTTCCACGAAAAGTTCCTCTTGTCCACATTTCAAAACACCTTGCTTAACGTCGATCTCACAACAATTTTTTCTCATAAAGTCTAGGCCCAGGATGCAGTCGTCCATTATATCAGCCACGATGACATTATGCAGATAGATTATGTTGCCTAGCTTCAACTCCATCTCCTTCTCTCCACGGACGGGTATGCGCTGACCGGTGGCTGTCACCAAATTAATGCGTTCTCGGTTGTATGCGGAGTCCCCAAGAAACCGACTTATAAGTTGGGAACTGACAACCGTGCGAGAGGCTCCAGTGTCTATGGTCAGTTTACACGGCGTTCCATTGACTTCGCCCTTGATGATTAGGCTGTTCCCATCATGGGTTTGTGAGATCGAAATCCTTGGGGCTCTTTTAACATCAGCCAGCACCCGCCCCGCAGTCCTGGCTTTTACTCGTTTCCCTGCTGCTGCTGGGCGGTGCTATTATCCGCACTACCCTCTCTAGATCGATCACCTTCCCTTTCTACAGTTCGTTTAGGGCAGCTGGATCGAAGATGGCCCCTTTCCCCACAGCCGTAGCACCTAGGGTTATAGCCCTTATTGCGGTCCTGAACTGTAGCTGCTGCAACCTCCCTGACGCGGTGGGAACGATGATCCTGCCGCACGGCTTCCACCTCCAGTGCATGGGTCAGGGCGTCCTTAAGCGTCTGGTGGTGCCCGAGCCTCACAGCAGCTCTGACTTCAAGGTCGCGGATGCCGTCGATGAATGTCTGCACCAGGTTCCCTACAATAAGCGCAGGTACAGACTGGTACGCTTTTCGAACCAGCTTCTCCACCTCAAGGGCCCACTGCTGCAGGTTTTCGTTACTGCGTTGCACGCGATCTTTGAGCTGCGCACGAAAGACGTGTTCCAGGTGAGCGTCGCCATATCTCGCCTCCAATGCCTCAAGGAGCTGCTCGTAAGTCACTTCCTTACCGAGAGCTTCCAGAACAGTTAATGCCTGGTCGCGCAGGCCTAGGGTGAGAGCAGTCATGGCCTGACTTTTATTCCAGCCGTTCGCTTTCATGACAGCCTCGAACTGGATTTTATAGGCCGACCAGGAAGAAGTCCCGTCGAACGGTGGCACTTTGAATCCACGTAGCGAAGGTGTTGTAGCTACCACGGGAGCTGTAACTCCATCCCCAAGTTTGAGGTCGTCCAGCGTTTTCTTCACATCAGCCATCACGTTGTCAACCCGATTGTTCACTTGGTCGATTCGGGTTTCAGCTTCCGACAGGCAGTTGTCATGTTGAGCAACCCTATCCTTCACCTCCTTTATCTCTTTCCCGAAGGTAGCGTGAAGGTCCTTCCTGAGGAGCATCTGTTCTTCCATACCGCGCTGCAGCTGCTCTTCCAGCCGACGGGTCTGTTCCTCCTGTCGGCGGGCCTGTTCCTCCTGTCGGCGGGCCTGTTCCTCCTGTCGGCGAGCCTGATCCTGCAGCATCATCATCAGAGCACCTAAGTTAGGTGCTGCAGATGCAGGAGCTGCTGACGGGCCAGCCTCCGTGGTTAGCAACTGGCCCTCCGACGTTTGCGGCGTTGCATTACCAAATCGTCTCTGGTCCGTCTCCTGTTGGCGTTGACTTCGGGTACGGATACCCTCCGTGTCGTCTTTAGGTAAAATCGGCATATTTGATCCCACTTCTGACACCAATTGTTACGAGCTTGGGGTTCGAGACAATTAAAAACTGCCGATTGAATTACCAAAATTAACACTTTAATTACACAACACTAATTACAATCAAAAATCACACTAATAATAAAACACAGTTCGCCGTTATTTCGCTTCGAAGTATTCTCTTGTATCGCCAATTCAATACTGCCTTGGTCGTGGTCCATACCGGCCTTATATAGGGCCTCAGACAGTTTCCAGAACCTTCTACTGTAGCGACATCTAGAATGTTCGAGTACATATCGGTCCCGAAATTTCTGGAAGGATCTCGACTCTCCTAGTTCTGCTACTCGACACTAGAGGGCGCTAGTGTAACTAGTGTTGCCATGTACAAGACATTAATAGTGGCGCGCAACACTTTCTTTTACTCGACACTAGAGGGCGCTAGTGTAACTAGTGTTGCCATGTACAAGACATTAATAGTGGCGCGTAACAATATTAATCACATTATCATGATATCTAAAAGCACACTCACGGATCTGATTTTTTTTTAACATGTAATAATAATTACCTTTCAATTGTTTAGCAATCTGTAGGCGAGCCCCATACTTCGTAACGCCATATACAGTGGTCATGACAGTTTGCTTGATGACCTTCCGCTTCACAAAGTTCTCTAAAACAACCGCCGCCGGCACGCCAGCAGCTGCGTCGCGAGCTCTCATTTCTTCTACCTGTAAGGAATTGGAATTAAGAATTGCACTCGAAATTATCCTTTGACTAGAGTTAGTTAGTAGTAGTAGTAGTGGAGTAGTGTTAGTATCGTACTCAAAGGTTTTGTTAGATGAATCTTTTTTAGATGAAAAAATAATTTATTTTCGTTAGTTTTAAATACTTTTATTCTATGTGGCCGTTTATTTATTGGTGTAGCCACACAGGACTATTGAACAGTGTAATATTCGTCATTATAGTGGCTTAGTGGTAAGAGTTTTTGAGTACCATCTTGCATCTTCATGATTACGATATATTATTGTGAGTTATCTCAGCTGGAAACAATATTTGTGTTCAGGGTTTATTTGTGATTGTACTTCAGAGATACATTAAAATTTTCCGCGAAGCCTGGAAAAGTGCGTGAAGTGTGTGACATTACTAGCGCGGCGACGCAAGGCGTGTGGATGCGTGTGTGAATGCGTGTGTGGATGCGTGTGTGGATGCGTGTGTGGATGCGTGTGTGGATGCGTGTGTGGATGCGTGTGTGGATGCGTGTGTGGATGCGTGTGTGGATGCGTGTGTGGATGCGTGTGTGTGCGTGTGTGGATGCGTGTGTGTGCGTGTGTGGATGCGTATGTGTGCGTGTGCGTGTGCGTGAGCGTGTGCGTGTGTGTGTGTGTGTGTGTGCACATTACCAGCGCGGCGACGCTGGTGTAGACGTCCTGCGGGCGGACGGCGGGCGCCAGGTTGACGGCGGCCGCGCCGGCCGCGTCGCCGCCTAGCGCCGCGTAGTGCTGCAGCCCGTTGCACGACCCGTCCTGGTGCACCGGGAACCCGCATTCGTACTCTGCATACGGTACAACATTATACTATGCGACACGAATCTGTAGCGCCGGTTTTTTTGATGGATCTTCTTTGCGCAGATACTGTTTGATGTATATGATTTTGTATGGACGGTACGTATCTCTATCGTCAATTATGATTAAGATGTTTCTTTTTTATACTTCAGGGGTAGTCCCATATAAATTTGGACTCAAAAGAGTCAAAAAATTAAATGTTTAATATTTTATCAAACGACGACGTGGACGACAAAGAACAATGAATTTATGATACACAAGTTAAACCGTACATATATCTTATGTACTATATTACCTTCAGGGTTAGGTGATCTAACTGCCTTCGCGATCTCCATACAACACGCGAGGGTCTGCCATGGCTCCTCTGACTTTTTCCACCAGCCCTCGCCGTCCAGAGGGTTGTCGGCCGAGTCTAAGATTTTATCCATTATACTAATTGCGTACTCATATCTGGGGAGCAGAATACATAAAAAAGTAGAGCTTTTTTGTTAAATATTATTTTTTTATTTTTTCAATTATCGAAATGGAAATATTTACAAATTTGGAATATATTATATTTACAAGTACGAGTTGTAGTGTATTATGATTATCGTCGTCAATATTGGATAAACTAGTCTTTTCAATAATCAATATAATAAAATTTAATATTCAATAATGTCAATTAGAACATCATGTATGATGTTCTAATTTGGTGTACCAAATTTGAAACTGACTTTTTGATAACAATAAGGCACACCTGGCCGGTACTCACCTCTCCTGCAGCGTGCTGCTCTTCATGGTGCCGGTGAGGTTGACGGCGTGCAGCTGCAGCCAGCGCAGGCCGCGCGGGCCCAGCGGGCGAGTGCGCGGGCACACCTGGCCGGTACTCACCTCTCCTGCAGCGTGCTGCTCTTCATGGTGCCGGTGAGGTTGACGGCGTGCAGCTGCAGCCAGCGCAGGCCGCGCGGGCCCAGCGGGCGAGTGCGCGGGCACACCTGGCCGGTACTCACCTCTCCTGCAGCGTGCTGCTCTTCATGGTGCCGGTGAGGTTGACGGCGTGCAGCTGCAGCCAGCGCAGGCCGCGCGGGCCCAGCGGGCGAGTGCGCGGGCACACCTGGCCGGTACTCACCTCTCCTGCAGCGTGCTGCTCTTCATGGTGCCGGTGAGGTTGACGGCGTGTAGCTGCAGCCAGCGCAGGCCGCGCGGGCCCAGCGGGCGAGTGCGCGGGCACACCTGGCCGGTACTCACCTCTCCTGCAGCGTGCTGCTCTTCATGGTGCCGGTGAGGTTGACGACGTGCAGCTGCAGCCAGCGCAGGCCGCGCGGGCCCAGCGGGCGAGTGCGCGGGCACACCTGGCCGGTACTCACCTCTCCTGCAGCGTGCTGCTCTTCATGGTGCCGGTGAGGTTGACGGCGTGCAGCTGCAGCCAGCGCAGGCCGCGCGGGCCCAGCGGGCGAGTGCGCGGGCACACCTGGCCGGTACTCACCTCTCCTGCAGCGTGCTGCTCTTCATGGTGCCGGTGAGGTTGACGGCGTGCAGCTGCAGCCAGCGCAGGCCGCGCGGGCCCAGCGGGCGAGTGCGCGGGCACACCTGGCCGGTACTCACCTCTCCTGCAGCGTGCTGCTCTTCATGGTGCCGGTGAGGTTGACGGCGTGCAGCTGCAGCCAGCGCAGGCCGCGCGGGCCCAGCGGGCGAGTGCGCGGGCACACCTGGCCGGTACTCACCTCTCCTGCAGCGTGCTGCTCTTCATGGTGCCGGTGAGGTTGACGGCGTGCAGCTGCAGCCAGCGCAGGCCGCGCGGGCCCAGCGGGCGAGTGCGCGGGCACACCTGGCCGGTACTCACCTCTCCTGCAGCGTGCTGCTCTTCATGGTGCCGGTGAGGTTGACGGCGTGCAGCTGCAGCCAGCGCAGGCCGCGCGGGCCCAGCGGGCGAGTGCGCGGGCACACCTGGCCGGTACTCACCTCTCCTGCAGCGTGCTGCTCTTCATGGTGCCGGTGAGGTTGACGGCGTGCAGCTGCAGCCAGCGCAGGCCGCGCGGGCCCAGCGGGCGAGTGCGCGGGCACACCTGGCCGGTACTCACCTCTCCTGCAGCGTGCTGCTCTTCATGGTGCCGGTGAGGTTGACGGCGTGCAGCTGCAGCCAGCGCAGGCCGCGCGGGCCCAGCGGGCGAGTGCGCGGGCACACCTGGCCGGTACTCACCTCTCCTGCAGCGTGCTGCTCTTCATGGTGCCGGTGAGGTTGACGGCGTGCAGCTGCAGCCAGCGCAGGCCGCGCGGGCCCAGCGGGCGAGTGCGCGGGCACACCTGGCCGGTACTCACCTCTCCTGCAGCGTGCTGCTCTTCATGGTGCCGGTGAGGTTGACGGCGTGCAGCTGCAGCCAGCGCAGGCCGCGCGGGCCCAGCGGGCGAGTGCGCGGGCACACCTGGCCGGTACTCACCTCTCCTGCAGCGTGCTGCTCTTCATGGTGCCGGTGAGGTTGACGGCGTGCAGCTGCAGCCAGCGCAGGCCGCGCGGGCCCAGCGGGCGAGTGCGCGCGAGGCGCAGCAGCGCGCGCGCCGCGTCGGCGCCCAGCACGGACACGTGCGGCCCCACCGCGTACACGCGGCCGCGGAAGTCCATGTTGTGCGGCAGCCAGAACATACAGTCCCTGTGACAAACCATAAAATCACTGGAATTATGCGTAACGACCGCGAGATTTAATAGTAAAAGTACACCTACGGAGCGAGTTCTAGGTTTTAACTTGCCTTTCAACATTTCGAAACCCTAATCAGACCGGGGGCCTGAGCTATAGCTGCATGTGCACATGCAAATTTCCGTTTTTAACGCAGCATGCATATGAGTTTAAAACAGAACTGTGTTCTTTTTGTAACTTTGGTGGGTATTATTTGCTCGTAAGAATCGCTGAGCAACTGCGTTATGTTTTTTAATTATTATAATATTTTATAGTAACTATTAGGGGAAATAATGAAACAAGTGCTCCGTTGGTGATGTGAATACCTCAAGATAATGTTGTGTCTGTCTACTTAGGCGCCTTGAGATACTATAGTCATCATCTGTTTGTAGGCTCAAGGTAGCGAAGCCTACATAGAAGCCGAGAAGCGGGCTTGCCCTATCAAACTGCTCAATCAATAATATCAACTAATAAAAAACTCGTAAACTGTTTCAAACTATTTCAAATTTCCGGCGCGCTCTTCTGTTCTACACAGGTCATGACCTCGTAGCCTTATTATGTAACGTCAACACTTGGCAGATTGCTTTCAATTCGAAATACACTGATTCGTGTTCTCTCTGTCTCAAAGGGAACACGCAATGGACTGTCAAAATTAATGAAAGCAAAGCAATACACAAGGTCAAGAGCGTCTTTCAGACTTATCAATTATCGCAAATGAAAAACAGTTATTGGTACAATTAAAAAGTTCACCATTATTTTACGCGGACGTAATCAAATCTTTCCTTAAAAAAAAGAGACGTTTCGATTTAGAATATAAATAATTTGTTTTTTTAAATTTTGTACATTGTTTGTACTTTGTTCATGCTTTTCTTTTGTTCATGTATTGTATTGTATGTAATGTAATCTTTTTCTTTCGCTTAAGCAAACCCAAACTGCTTTTTTCAAAGCCACCGAAGGTATGGTATATTGGTGATATGTCAGACAATCTATCTAGCAGTAGTATGCCTTCTGTGTGCTTTGTTAAACCTGTCCTCGACAGCACTGAATATGAAACTGAAGAGTGGAGACAGATCAAGATTGATGTATTTTTATAAAACTGCTAAAAACAACAAAACCATATCTTGGGCTTGCCCTAGTTTGGAACCCTAGCTTCGCCACTGGCTCAAGCTAACGTCAAAATCTTCCAAAAACTTCACAATGTGACGCATCAACATATTGTAAATAAGTCTTTACACAAATTATTATTATAGAAGATAATTTCTTAAATATGTTTGACACTGGCAAAAGCACAAAAGTACGTGTCCCTTACTAAAGAAAACAAATGTTTAATATACACACACATACGCACGTACCTGTAGTGATTGGCGAGTGACAACTTGTAGAGCATGTCGCACCACAGCGAGTGCATGTCGGCGCGCGCGCGGCTGATGGCCAGGCGGCGCTTGAAGGCGGCGCCCGCACCCCCTCCCCCTGCCCCTGCCCCCGCCCCTGCCGCGCCCACCGGGAACTGCGACGTGTCCAGCGCGCTCGCCGGCGCCGGTATGTCCAGCCGCTTGTCGCCGCCCGACCTGCGCCACATAACCTTACATTTTACACGTGACTAATAATGCTCGGCATACATTACAAATTGCAATGCCTTTTTTGATCAACTTCAAGAATAAGGGAGATTATGATTTCTCTTTCTCTCTTTTCTGCCAACTTCCAAAAAGGAGACGGTCTTCAATTCGACTGTATGTTTTTTTTTATGTGTGTTACCGATGTGGATGATTCTTTTTTTATTTGAAAGCTGGTACTTCTCGTGTGGTCCAATATGAATTTGATCAAGGTCAGATCAATAGTTTTTGAGTTATTCTTTATAACGTATATTGAAGTCGGCTGTACAAAATTTTTAATTTTAAATTATTCCTTTTTTAAAAAAAACGTTTCTTATATTTACACGACGACAAAATACGTAAGAAACCTAGTTTCATAGAGGATAATACAAAAAAGTAGTTGAGGTCTCACCTCAACTACTTTTTTGTATGTATGTGACGCGATTTTGATTATTATTTTTTTTATTAAATATAGATTAGAATTATTGGATGGTCACATAAAGGTGGAAAAATAGGGTATGAAGAATTTAATGTACTCCTAACTATTAACACAACATTCGAGTTGGAACATTGAATTTGTGTACTCACGATGTCTACTCAAGTGTCAAAAAATTAAACTAAATAAAAAGTAAAAACCAACCTTAAAGAACTAAAAATATAAGATAATTTCAAATTTTAACCTCGAGTTTTAATTATTATATTACATTACATTCGCACTTGTGCGGTGTGGGGCCCTTTGGGTAAATGGAAGTCTCGTGGCGACGGTTGAAACAAAACTGCTTTATTAAAAATGTTACAGTTGTTATATACTTAATTCTAACAAAGAAACGTTTTTGAAATTGTTGACTAGACTATATATTAGAGACTCTATTCGATGTAATTCTAGGCTTTATATATATAAGGGACTCAGGTCTGTAATAAAATCATACTATGTAAGAAGAAGTGTAATGTGTCATCTAATTCGCGCGAAGACAAGTGGGGGTGCATGAATAGCCCGCGCGGCTGGCGAGTGACCGCAGTGTGACCGTGAAGGTCCAGTCGCCTAAATGCATTTCTGCATCTATATTAAACAATTCAAAACGCATACGTTATGCAAATTATAGCTAATAGCTTTTTATAGGTTTGTTAATAATTATTAAATATTAACGGTTGTTCCCCTTATATTGGGTAAGTGTGAGCAAATTTATAATATATGTATTACAATAGTATAACAAATATTATGTTACTTTGATTTTTTGAAATTTAGACAATTGATACTTAATGTGTAATTTAATTTTATGTCACATGCTAGTTATTTTATCACGTAATTGTGTGTCTTTTCATAGTAGATGCTTAGTTGATATAACTTTATTTTCTTGCCTCCGTTCTGGTAGCATGTACCGCCACATCAAACTTATCAGTTTTACTCGCCTAGTTGATTCTGGCGGTGGGCGTATAATATTACCTACTTTGGAGGCAAGGCTCATGAAAGATTTCGACTGTGTGTTCCAGGGAACCTCGCCAGGGGGCTGTGACATCCTTCTTTTTATTTTATTTCTAAACGAGATAAGATGGGAGGATTTGGAATTAAATGAAATATATATATATATATAATATACATTGAATTCGCAAGCGAAATCGGTCTATAAAGGACACATATCTCCAACCACTTCCGCCGGACTCGCCGCCAGTCGTGCCAGGGAAGTACTTGCTTTTTTTCTCCTGATCCTGAAAGGCGTCGAACCCGCGACCTGTTAATTTTATTTTATTTGCCTTTTTTATTATTAGTCAATTTAGTATTTTCTTAGAAGTATTTATATTAGTTTATTTTTTATAAGCAGTATTATTGAATATCTCTTTAGAAGTAGGTACTCATATTAGTCTAGTTTTACAAGTAGTGTTATTAAATATCTCTTTAGAAGTACTTATATTAGTCTAGTTTTATAAGTAGTGTTATTAAACATTGTAAAAAAAAAATTGTTGTTATTATTTATTTATTATCAAATAAAATAATAACGTGACATTGGCGCCTCAACTTGGTTATTCAGGATCAGGAATTTTAGTGGTGTGTGCGTGTATATTGTAAACCTTTTGTTTTTTTTATGACTTTCAATTTGCCTTTTATACTTTTGCAACTGCAGTGTATATAATGTTTTAATTTTAGTGGTAGCCTTATTGTGTTTAATTTGTATACGTACAAAAATAAAATATTTTAGTTTTATTAATATATTTAATAATAAGCTTTATTAAAGCAAATATATACTACAGTTGCACCCTTTTGTTGCATTTTTTTCTCTTTATTTATTGCTTTCCCGTGTAGTAATTTTTACGAACATCCTTAAAAAAAAACTTAGGGGATTACTTACCAAAATTGTAACAGGACGGAGGATTCTTACTTAAACAAATTAGTTTTATTGTATAATTATAGAATTTTAAACCTGCTCACATAAACCTAGTATAAGGATTTTCTTAGACTTCTTAAATTATGTCATACGAAATTCAATTCTTGTCCTTACAAAAAAACGAACTAAGCTATGAGGTGGCCATTAGAGGCGGCACACCCGGAGAAAACGTTCAAGAATTACGCAGGCAGATAGTCAAATTAGCCAATGTGACGCCTTCGGATGATATTATTGAATCTGGGTTTGAGTTTTCTGTAGACGTAGAGGGCATCCGCGAAAGCCTTGCTAAAGTAGAAACGAATTTAAAAACATTATCAGTGAAATATGATAAAAATTTATATAAACGTACTCAAAACTTACTTAACCATTTATTTCATAGGATTCAACGTCTGGATGCTGTAGATAAAAAGTCTACAGATATTATAGAAAGCCTCAGGCTCAAGCTAAATACAAATTTTAAAATCTTAGAACATCTTAAGCCTGATACTGATTCCTCATCTGAATTTACAGATGCTCTTACAATTACACTGTCCCCTATTGTTGTTACATGTGATCGAGCTCATTCTTCGGACTTAACTAGTATTAAGTTTGATGGTAAAACGTGCGTACTTTCGTTTGTCCAACGTATAAACGACTATATAACTGCCCGTGGTATTCCCTCTTCTAAAATTATAGATTTTGGAACAGAAATTTTCGTTGGTGATGCTTTACACTGGTTTCGCAGTGTAAGATCACATGTTACGTCTTGGGATAGATTATGCGAATTACTGAAGGATGTTTTTGTTATTCCTGATCATGATTATCGCTTATTAGACGAGATAAAAGCTCGTACGCAAGGTGAAACTGAGAATATTACTATTTACCTAGCCATTATGTCAGGCATGTTTTCCCGTTTATTTAAAAAACCTTCAGAGGAAGATCAGTTAGAAATTATTATGCACAATATCAAACCGTGTTATGCTAGCGCTTTAATTGCAGTGCCTGATCTTAAATCTATTGAGGTCTTACGTACGGCTTGTAAAAATTATGAGAATGTACAGTCTTGTCTTAATAAATATCATGAACCTCCTAAAATAAATTCAGCCACACTAGCACCCGAATTTGCATTTAAGCCACTCACTAATTTAGCAGAAAAAAATAAAATGTACTATTCTACCACCAATAAATTTAATTGCAATAAAGCTTATAATAATTATAATAAACCTATACCTAATTCAAGTAACCTTTATAAAAAATATTCTCCCAATTCGAACGTTTTAAACAACACTAACCCGCAACGGCAACAAAGAGTTTATGGTAATAATAAACCAATTGACGCTATTCAATATGACGAAAGTAAACAAAGGTTTTGCCCTCGGTGTCGTGTTGATACACACAACTTAAGACAATGTACAGAAAAACGCAAAGTATTTTGTTTCAAATGTGGCCGTGATGATTACACATTTTACACTTGTCCAGATTGTACAAGTATTCCGTCTAGTTCAAAAAACTAATAAAGCAGAATTGTAGCAACCTCGTCAACCACTCTAATAATACCGATTGGAAACAGTGGTTGAAATTTATTAATAATTTTTTTAATAGCTATACAGTTGCTACAATTCTACTTAATAAACCACCTAACGACGTGCGACCTTATTTATCAGTCAAAATAGGAAATACAAAATTTTGGGGGTTATTAGATTCTGGCTCAGCCGTCACCTTACTAGGCAATAATGCACACAACTTACTGATAGATGAAGGATTTGCTGTGCACACTGATGAAATAGTCTCTATAACAGCAGCCGGTGGACAAAAACTTTATTGCTTAGGATATATTAATCTCCCATTTAATTTTGAAAACAATTATTATACTTTGAAGACATTTGTTGTTCCTGAAATAGAGACCTCTCTTATATTAGGTATTGATTTCTGGAAAAAATTTAACATATGTCCAAAATACATCAACTGCATTGAATATAAAAGAGAACTCACCGATTATTATTCAAACACGAATGAATCAATATTAAAATCTCACATACATTCATACGCATCCCTTAATGCCAACCAACGCTTGATTGCTGACGACATAATTGAACAATTTAAGGACGTTTCTTCCGAACGCAAGGGCTTAGGTTGTACTTCTCTTGCATGTCATTCTATTGATACGGGTGACACGAAACCTATACGACAGCGTTATTATCGAATATCCCCTGTAAAGCAGCAAATTTTATGCCAGCAAGTTGACGAGATGCTTTCATTGGACGTAATTCAGCCTTGTGAGAGCTCTTGGTCCTCTCCAATCTTAATTGTTATAAAAAAAAAACGGCCAACCGCGCATTTGCTTAGACAGTCGCAAGTTAAATTCTGTAACCAAACGCGATGCTTATACCTTGCCATATGTTTCCGAAATTCTGGATAATCTGCGAGACGCAAAATTTATATCTAGTATAGACCTTTCTAAAGCATTCTGGCAAATTTTAATTTCAGAACGCGATCGCGAAAAAACTGCCTTTTATGTCCAAGGTCGTGGGACCTTTTGTTTTAAGAGGATGGCTTTCGGCCTTATCAATGCACCTGCAACCCAACAAAGGCTTGTAGACTTATTATTTGGTTCATTTGATCTTAAGGTATTTGCATACCTAGATGATATAATTATTATTTCTAACACATTCGATGAACACGTTTCTTTACTATTACGTGTAATAAATAAGTTAAAGGAAGCAAATTTAACAATAAACTTTGAAAAAAGCCAATTTTTTCGGTCTCGTCTGAAATATTTGGGCTACGTAATAGACGCCCAGGGTCTCAGAACAGACCCTGAAAAGGTAAAAGCTATTTTAGAGTATCCAACACCATCTTCAAAAAAAGATGTAAAACGTTTTTTAGGAACAGCCACCTGGTATAGACGTTTTGTGCCAAATTTTAGCACTATAGCTGGGCCTCTTAATAAACTTACTTCAAATCGCAAGGGTTCTCCAAAATTGTACTGGTCACCAGAGGCAGACATAGCTTTTAAAAAGCTAAAAGAATGTTTAGTATCTGCACCAGTCTTACATTGTCCTAACTATAATTTGCCCTTCCAAGTTCACACAGACGCCAGTAATTATGGAGTAGGTGCCATGTTAACTCAAACAGTCGATGGCAAAGAACATCCTGTTGCCTATATGAGCAAGTCACTAAATGCTGCAGAAAAGAATTACAGCATTACCGAGAGAGAGACATTAGCTGTAATAGTAGCATTAGAACACTGGCGTTGCTATCTTGAAAATGGTCAACCTTTTGTAGTTTACACTGATCATTCAGCACTAAAGTGGTTTCTCTCTTTAAACAACCCTACGGGCAGGCTTGCAAGATGGGGCATTAGGCTATCTTCTTTTGATTTTACTATCAAGCATAGACGTGGTGCTGATAACATTATTCCAGACGCGTTACCTCGCGCTGCCGTAGTTTCTTCTATTTCCACAGCAAAATCTTACTTAACAACGAATGATAAATGGTATCTAGACATTTATAATGGTTGTATGAACAATCCAAGTAAATATGAAAATTTTCTTATCAAAGCGGAAAAGCTATATCGGTGTTCAAAAAATAAATGTTTATTAACTACAGAGTTTTCGTGGAAAGAAGTAGTTCCATTAGAATTACGAGAACACGTTATCAAAGAAAATCACGCAGAACCCACGTCAGGTCATTTAGGCATCCATAAAACTTATCGCCGTTTAGCATTGCAGTATTTTTGGCCAGGTATGCATCGGGACGTCGTAAAGTTTGTTACGAAGTGTGATATCTGCTTAACTTATAAACTCCCTACTCATAATGTGTTAGGAGAAATGGGACGACCTAAACAGTGTTGCCGACCCTTCCAAATTATTTCAATTGATTTCATCGGACCCCTGCCAGTTAGTAGAAAACAAAATTCTTATATCTTAGTCGTAACATGTTGTTTCTCCAAATATTGTTTAGCGTTTCCGGTAAGAAGAGCTACAGCCGACATTGTAATTAAACATCTGGAGGACTCTGTATTTTTAACACATGGCATTCCCCAAACGGTGTATATGGATAATGGCAGCCAATTCATTTGTGAGAAGACCATTGCGTTATTTAATAAGTATAATATTCCTAACGTTTTTCTTACACCTAAATATACTCCTCAGGTTAATTTGGTGGAACGCTATAATAAAACTATTGTCACCTGTATATCGACCTTTGTGAAAGAAGATCAGCGTTCTTGGGATGTATATTTGCCTAAAATACTGTTTGCAATAAACAACTCCGTTAACGAGGTTACTGGTTACACTCCCTCATTCCTTGTATATGGGCGTGAATTGGTAATATGTGGTTCTCACTACGTTGACAACGACCTTGGCGATGAAATTGTTTTCTTACCGCGAGACGCCTATGCTGAGAACATCGGTTATCTCGCTAAAATATTCAACAAAGTTCAGGCATCACTATGGCATCATCATCAACAAAATTCCAAACGCTATAATTTAAGGAGAAGGTTCACAGAATTTAACGAAGGCGATATTGTATTTAAGCGCACTTACTATCTGAGTGATAAACACAAATATTTTAATAAAAAATTAGCCCCAAAATTTATTAAATGCCGCATAACTAAAAAGAGGTCACCTCTAGTGTACGAATTGGAGGACATGCACGGTAAATATTTAGGGCCATGGCACATAAAAGATTTTAAATTGTCTAAATAGCACATTTTTTGGTTTTGCTGCGGATTTTTCTACTTATAGGAAGAAAAATCCTTGGGTGGCCAGCGGGGTATTGTAATGTGTCATCTAATTCGCGCGAAGACAAGTGGGGGTGCATGAATAGCCCGCGCGGCTGGCGAGTGACCGCAGTGTGACCGTGAAGGTCCAGTCGCCTAAATGCATTTCTGCATCTATATTAAACAATTCAAAACGCATACGTTATGCAAATTATAGCTAATAGCTTTTTATTGGTTTGTTAATAATTATTAAATATTAACGGTTGTTCCCCTTATATTGGGTAAGTGTGAGCAAATTTATAATATATGTATTACAATAGTATAACAAATATTATGTTACTTTGATTTTTTTAAATTTAGACAATTGATACTTAATGTGTAATTTAATTTTATGTCACATGCTAGTTATTTTATCACGTAATTGTGTGTCTTTTCATAGTAGATGCTTAGTTGATATAACTTTATTTTCTTGCCTCCGTTCTGGTAGCATGTACCGCCACATCAAACTTATCAGTTTTACTCGCCTAGTTGATTCTGGCGGTGGGCGTATAATATTACCTACTTTGGAGGCAAGGCTCATGAAAGATTTCGACTGTGTGTTCCAGGGAACCTCGCCAGGGGGCTGTGACATCCTTCTTTTTATTTTATTTCTAAACGAGATAAGATGGGAGGATTTGGAATTAAATGAAATATATATATATATATAATATACATTGAATTCGCAAGCGAAATCGGTCTATAAAGGACACATATCTCCAACCACTTCCGCCGGACTCGCCGCCAGTCGTGCCAGGGAAGTACTTGCTTTTTTTTTCCTGATCCTGAAAGGCGTCGAACCCGCGACCTGTTAATTTTATTTTATTTGCCTTTTTTTTATTATTAGTTAATTTAGTATTTTCTTAGAAGTATTTATATTAGTTTATTTTTTATAAGCAGTATTATTGAATATCTCTTTAGAAGTAGGTACTCATATTAGTCTAGTTTTACAAGTAGTGTTATTAAATATCTCTTTAGAAGTACTTATATTAGTCTAGTTTTATAAGTAGTGTTATTAAACATTGTAAAAAAAATTGTTGTTATTATTTATTTATTATCAAATAAAATAATAACGTGACAGAAGTTATGCTATATAACTAGAAGATGATTATTGAAAACCGTCAATTAAAACCAACTTACATACTGCTCTCAGGACAAATATAAACCGGGGGTTAAAAAATTGTACAAACAAATAATTATACTTTTTTTATATTAACAATTAAATTATATGTATAATTTTTTTTTGTTTACTTAGGGAGTAATGCCAATTATGAGTTATTAAACACTGTGATTATTTAAACAATCGAAATATTTAAAAAAAAACGATTATTCAGGTACTAACTTTACCTAAATAAAAAAAAATATACATTAAAAAGTCATAGTCACCTGAAAACTTTTAGCTGTAAATCTAAAATATCCTGGTTGATGACCCAAGGGACTTCACCCAGTTGGTTGAGACTGTCAAGCACTGGATACAGTGCGCTAGGTGGAGACTCTTCTAATCGCTTCATTTGGCTTGACACATAGTATGGTATCCTGTTCAATGAAATTATTAAATTTTGGATTACATGGTTACTCCAATTAAGTACCTAGGTGGCGTGAAGTATCAACGCACTCTCCTTCTCATATTGTAGGCTGGTATTCTAGGATTCAAGAAAGTACTAATCATTTAGTGACTATCAGAATGTACTTCAGTAATCACTATAATTCAAGTCATAACTTTTTTTATGTTATATTTTCAACAACTGACGAAAACTTTCAATTTTCATAATTATAAGGCAATATCTTGAAATGTAAATGAGTAAATATTTACGCCAGCAGAAATGTACGGTCGGAATAAAAATTTGTTAAAATAAATAGTATTTTTTTATAACTGGCTTCTAGCCCTTCTGAGCCTAATAAATAGTAAATAAGAATAAAAAACACAGAGTATATGTACCGTATGAGCGGCGTGGCGGTGAGCAGGTAGGCGCCGGCGGGCGGTGCGGGCGGCGCGGCGGGCGGCGCGGTGCGCCAGGGCGCGGGCGGCGCGCGCGTGGGCGCGAGCGCGGCGCGCAGGCGCAGCGCCGGCCGCGCCGCGCCCGCCCACAGCCGCGCCAGCGCCGGGTGCGGCTTCAGCTCCAGCCGCACCAGCCGCCCCCACGCGCGGTGCACCTTGTACACCGCCGGCAGCCGCCGCCTGCGACACACCACGCAACATACCTCACTACACATTCCGCTATATAACTTACACTATACGTGGTAGAGCCATGCTGTAGCTATATTAATAGTATAGTTGTAGCACGAATGGCTCGGCTTGACCGGGGAAGGACCACGCTCTCACAGAATACCAGCGTAAAATAGCAGCTTAACACTGCTGTGTTTCGTATGGTGAGTGTAGAGAACCGAAGACCCTTTTTACTGGAAAAAAAGCATTCCACTTAGTCTTTACGGATGACAACGCAAAAATCAATTTACTTAACTTTTAATAATTATTGAAGGTACAAAAACTGTCACTTCTGTGGTGTAAATTCGAGAGTGAAGGAAACGCGTGATACTATACTCTATAAGCTATCTAGCGCTTTATGTTTTAATAGTTTAGTTATAAGACATAACTAATTTTTATGCTGCAGCAAATACCTCAGTAAGTCCACGGTGCGCTCGCCCAGCGCAGGCCACCGCTGTCATCAAGATGCGATATTTTTTGGTTTGTAATAGCTTCTCTAGTACGCAGTACTTATAACTCAATGTTGGAAACCATTCAACAATAAGCGTCGCTAACGTGCTTTACAGTACTAACGCTAGACGCATACAATTTGACAGCAAAATGGAGGTATTTCATTTAAAGTACATTAAACTTACTCTTTATCTTTAGCTTTAAACATGTTGACGTCGATCTTGACATCGTTTATAATGATATTGTACAGGAATTTTCCAATATTTTGTCGCATTTCCATTGGCCAAGGTGCTTCCTCCATATCCTGTTAAATACGTTAAATTACTCTTTTTTAAAAAATGTGTGTGTAATTGTGTACACACGTGCGAAGTGAAACTTCTTTACGAACAGAGCCTGTTTTACCTATGGTGGAAGGTGTGCAGCGCACACGGACGCAGGGTCTTACCAGTGCGACCAAAGACCATGCGCCCGTGTTATGGCCGGCGCCGGGCGCGGTAGCAAAGTAAGGCGCGCCACTAGCGGCTACTTTACACTAACTTTTGTTTCAACTTGAAATTAGTCTTACAGCAAATAATTAAAGATTATATTTGCGTAGCGATAGTGTTGCATCGCTACCGAAGGCGCGTGCCAGCACCTGTTTTGATTCGTTGGAAAACACATCGGTAATCATTACAAACTTGACTACTGAAACTAGTTTTTAAATTAACTACAAAGTTGTTCTTTTATTCTTGTAACCCCTTCCTTCTTAAAAAATACTTTTTACTCGTGTACCAATTGCTTCCCGACATCATTTAAAATTGCACTAATAGCATCCGAATTTCAGATTGAAAATATAACTAAGTATTCCATTTTGATCGCGTGCCTACTAGAGGGCGTCAGGGTATTTATTTATTTATTTATTTACTCTTTATTGTACACCAAAAACAAAACAAAAACGAATACAATTAAATCTAAATTAGAAAATGTACAACAGGCGGTCTTATCACTCTGAAAGTGATTTCTTCCAGACAACCTTAGTGTAGAGAACTGATGTAAACAATAGTTAAAAATAGAGAGGGGCGTACAAAATAAAAATAAAAAATATAAAATACATACAAATAAAGGCAAGTGAAGATTATGTATGATATAATATAATAGATTAAATGAAAAGAGTACGAAAAAGGAAAAGTGATTTATTTAATAGCGTTCTAAGTAATACGATTTAACAAGACATTTGAAAGAATGAAGAGATTGAGCACGACGAATGTGGAGAGGTAAAGAGTTCCACAAACGTACAGCAGTTACAGTAAAGGATTTCTTAAAAAAGGAGGAAGAGTGCGAAGGAGTAGAGAGAGAAAGATTGACGGAGGATCGAAGGAACCGATTATGGGTAAGGGAAAGATACTGGAAACGGTCTTTTAAATAATGAGGAGTGGAAGGATTAAACAGCACGCTATACAAAGTGGAGAGAATGTGAGTATTCCTGCGAAGGCGGATCGGGAGCCATTTGAGCTGTTTGCGAAATTCAGAGATGTGATCATATTTGCGAAGCCCAAATATGAATCTAATACATAAATTTTGAATGCGCTCAAGCTTATTAAGCTGCTCCTCGGTAATGTCAAGATAGCATATGTCAGCATAGTCAAGGATAGGTAGAAGTAGAGACTGGGCGAGCGTAACTTTAGTTACTGTGGGAAGAAAATTACGTAATCTACGTAAAGAACTTAAAGCAGCAAACATTTTTTCTACTAACCTCATTAATCTGTGAGGTCCAAGACATACAGGAGTCGAGATACAACCCCAGGTTTTTAACCTTGTTACTGTAAGGGATTTGAGTGCAGTCTAGTAAAATAGGAGGTAGGGAAGACCAGTCAATTTTTCCAATTAATCTAGAACTACCGATGATAATTACCTGAGTTTTCTTGGGATTAATCGTTAAACCATAACGTTTACTCCAATTCGAAATACAAGTCAGATCAGCGTTAATAGTGTCAACTGATTTAGACAAATCTTCAAGAGAAGATTGAGTATAGATTTGGAGATCATCAGCATACAAGTGGTAGGAAGAGGACAGATTATGACTTATAGAGTTAATGAAAATTGCAAACAGGAGAGGAGACAACACGCCACCTTGTGGTACGCCAGCCGCTGTAGTAGTCCAGGTGGAAAAAACATCTTGCACCTGAATGCGCTGTCGGCGACCAAACAAGTAACTTCGAAACCAGTCAACTACAGTCGGAGATATGTTAAGAAAGCGCAGGATGCCCAACAAGATATCAAAATCTACTGTATTAAATGCATTACTAAAATCAAGTAACGTAAGAATGGTAAGCTTTTGTTTCTCCATACCATACCGAATATCATCAGTGATTTGTAAAAGTGCAGTAGTCGTACTATGGCCAGGACGGAAACCGGATTGCAAAGGATTTAAAAGATTATGTTTTAAGAGATAGATGCTTAATTGATTGTGCACAAGACGTTCAAGAACTTTGGAAAGGAAAGGCAAGATAGAGATAGGTCTATAATCAGAAAAACTAGACGGATTCGACTTTTTCGGAAGAGGAACTACAAATGCATCTTTCCAAGCTGAAGGGAAAATAGAAGAATTCAGTGAATTATTCAGGATGGAAGTGATTACAGGTGAAAGGAGATCAATGAGAGGGATGACCATTTTCCGACTAATGCAGTCACTACCAATTGAATTTGAATGGATGGACATTATGGCTTTCATAACATCACAACTGTTAAATTGACTAAAATTAAAAGCAGAGGTGTCTGGAGCGGGAGCTTTTGAAAGGGAATCCAAAGTATTGTGTTTTGCTTTATCGTTAATGCAAGACGAAGATGAGAAATGCAAATTAAGTTGATTGAGATCAAAGTTAAGGTGAGTGAAATTTTGTCGTAATTTCCCAACTCCTAAAGACTTAAGAAATTTCCAGACCCTAGCAGGGTCAGGATCTTGTACTGATTCATGGATATGGCGTCGTTGTGCTTTTCTACACAGATTGTTGCAACGATTCCGTACTAATCTATACTTCTCTCGATTCAGGTCGCTAGGAACTGACTTGTATTTCGCTTTGGCACAATTTTTAATGTGGATGATTTTTTTTATATCATCAGTCAGCCAAGGAGAGGGAGGATGCTTTACACGCACTGGACGAACAGGAGCATGAACGTCATAAAGCTGAATTAACAAAGAGTTGAACAAAGCTACCTGTTCATCAACAGTGGAAGCATTGACGACTACACTCCAATCAATTTTTCGAGCGTCATTTAAAAGCTGCTTCAAGTCCAAGTCACTAAAGTTACGCTGAAGTAGGATCCTTGACTTAGCTTTAGGGGGACGGATTTTGTAAGACAAGTATAAAAGGTCATGATAGGAAAAAGAATCAGCAGCATATTGCCCAAATTTATGAACAAGGTCAAGTGAAGACACAAACATTATGTCGAGAAGAGAAGGGGCACAGTTCGGGAAAAAGTGTGTGGCAGAAGTAGGAAGAAGTTTTAAATTTGCTGCTTCGATAACAGATTTTAGTTTAATTGATCTGGCGTTGGTTTTTAAAAGACAAGTATTAAAATCACCCATAATTATACTATGACAATAGATAGGTGTAAGATTTTCAAGAATATTTTCTAACGTGGTGAAGTAGTCAACAGTGAGAGAGGGGCTGTAAAAGACTCCGAGAAGTAATTTAGTATGACCGAGAAGAACTTCGATAAAGAGAAATTCTATAAAGAGGGTATTTATTGGTTGCACACTGGAGTTTCAACTACAAGGGCTAAAGCCACCTCTGTTTACGAAATATCATTCTTCTTTTACTTTATTACTCATGTAGCCCAGGCAGTGAAACGTTAAAGAAAACGTGACTTTTTTTTAATACCGTACTAATTTCACCACTATATCGATAAAAAAGTTTCACCTCAAAAATGTTACAAGTCAATGAAATACAAAATGTTTTTATACTTTAAATTCCATGTTGATCGCGTGCCTACTAGAGGGCGCCAGGGTATTGGTTGCACACTGGAGCTACAACTACAAGGGCTAAAGCCGCCTCTGTTTACGAAATATCATTCTACTTTTATTTTATTACTCATGTAGCCCAGGCAGTGAAATGTTACAACAAAACGTGACTTTTTTTTAATATCGTACTAATTTCACCGCTACGTCGATAAAGAAGTTTCACCTCAAAGATGTTACAAGTCAATACAAAATGTTATTGAGACTTTAAAAAAATTATCAAACCCAATGATCGCGATATTTTCATTCTTTTTAAGCTCATATAATTTCAAAGCTGGACATGATCTCCCCCCATTGTAGATTTGCCTTAATCGTCACCTTGTCCACCAGGATTGTTGATCGCAATACCAGACGTCACACAATTGACGCTGCTGCGTGTCGACGGTCTAGGTATTTTGAGGATCCCCCCGAACGGGCTCCCGCCTTGTCGTGGCGGGGGGCTTAGTAGCCGTAGCTTGGTCACCCGCGATGAACAAAGAAGAACCCCTTGGCTGGCCCATGGTTATAACGCTATACCTATATCTCATGAGAGTCATGACTACACCTACGGAACGAAATGGAGTGATGGATTCTCTTACACCACCACTATTTGGTTAATTAAAGAAGTATTTTGGCAAAAAAAATAAATCTGTATATTCCACAGACATTTCTAAGAATAAGGCGCCAGACAAACAGAGCACAAAAACACCATTCTAAAAGGGTCCTGTTTTACTACTGATTTATGGGCCCCAAAATTTTGTACAAGACTTCAACAAATTGATTAAAAATAGATTTATTCATAATATAATTATTTTATTATATATTTACTTAAAACTACTTTAGAAAACTTAAAAAGTTCAAGTTACTTACTAAACTTGCACCTTCTCTATTCTGATGCTCGAGTAGTTGCCAGACCTGTCTTCCATTATATGGTTGATTTGAGCCATCTACGGATTGACGTTTCAAATACCACTCACAGTACTTTTCGTAAACCTCTTCTATCTTCTTTAGAACGCCATTACGACGATACTGTTCGATTTGATACCTATAAATAAAAATGTTTAAATTTAAAAATCAATAAATAAAATAATCCGATTTAAAAAATTACATTCAAAAATAATTTTGATCTATACAAATAAATAAAATTGAAGTGTCTGTTTGTAATGTCAAAATTTTACTAAATACATATGAAAGTAAATACGGCACTTACAACTAAAATAGTTTTTAAAATTTTTGTCTGTCTGTCTGTTTGTTCCGGCTAATCTCCGAAACGACTGTACCGATTTTGACGGGACTTTCATTGGCAGATAGCTGATGTTATAAGGAGTAACTTAGGCTACTTTTATTTTAGAAAAAGAAGTAGGGATCCGCGCAAAAAAAAAACTTAAAACCCATGAAAGCCAATCGTAATAAATTATATGCGGACGAAATCGCGGAGAACAGCTAGTTTCATATACAATAGTACCTCGATAATCCGAACACACAAAATTTACAACCTGTTCAAATTAGTGAGGCGTTCGGATTATAGTATGTAGATACATAATATTTTAAAGTGTTTTTTGAATCGAAATATTGATTTCATAATTGAAAGTGAATACAAATTTGAATCAATATATATTAATTATTAAAAATAAAATCTACTTTGACGAGTGGTGTTTAATGATAAAGAAAATGGTTTATCCCTCAATTTACGCAATAACATTTTTTTAATAGAAATATCTACTAGAGCAGGGGGGTGGGCTGTATGGGCCTCTGTATGGTCGATTTTTGTTGGGGCAGCTAGGGCGTGTACAAGACATAATATATAAAACGAGACGGCGTAAAATGTTCCATAATTCTTTATCTAACATAAAAGGACTAGCAATTAGCCAAGTGTCGAAAGCTGCGTTTAACCATTGCGATAATGGAAAAGTCTATGTTAAAGTGGAAACGTATGTCCGATAGTTGATTGTTTAAGCACTGTGGAGGTTGATATATATAGAGGAAACTTCTATACTTACTTATGATACACTTGAGTGCCAAGATCTCTCTGTAATAGTTTTAGAGTTGGACTAAAAGTTTCACTACCATCAACTAACTTGCTAATTTCACCCATCATCAAATCTACAAATTGGTCTGCCTGTAAATAAATTATTAGTAATAAAATTGGGTTTAATTAAATAGATTAATAAACTGCAGTGTGATGGCCGCATAAGAGAATTCATTATCCAATGCGTCACGGGAGTGTCATAAGAGGCGACTACAGGAATCTACTTTACAATGGTAGAGACTTATGTACATACAACACAGTATTACAGGCAGAATGTATGGGTATTATCGAAGCGGCCATAGCAATAGATGCTAGGAAGGTAAAAGACTCCTCCATCAGAATATTGACCGACAGCGTGGCGGTACTACAAGCTCTGAGTTGCAATGTGGTAAACTCAGGGAATATATGAATGCCATCAATGACTAAATAAGGTATGTAAACACAACAATGTGACTGCAATGGATAAAGGGCAACAATGGATCCAGGGACAAGGATGCAACAGATGAACTGGACAGAGGAGGATCGGTTCTAGTCATTTTAGGGCCGGAACCAATCATACCAATCCCCTTTGGTAATGTTTGTTCACTAGTACGTAAAAACTTCACTAATCAACACGCTCAGCTTTGGAAAAATCTAGTTGTCTGTAGACAGGCTAGGGAGGCCCTGCCTGGAATAAACAGTCGGTTAACAATGGCTCTTTTGACAAACATTTATTTACTTTAGGTGTTACAAATTGTCACCTGTGCAGGGCATGTATGGGGGAGAAAGAAACGGCGGCCCACGTATTACTGACATATCCGGAGATCGCTGCATACAGGGCTAAACATCTCGGCACGCCGGGATCACTCCCTGAAGTTGCTCACAACATCAAATGACTGTTGAAATTCTTCAGGGAGATTTCATGGCTCGAATAATTACATTATTCCTGCCCGCACGCAAAATACGACTTCAAACGTGGAGTTGCGGCAAACAGCCCATCGTGACTGGCTGATAATAAAGATATAGTTTCAAATTTTTGACTTCTGGTGCGTCGAATTGGGATTTTTTATGAAACTGTTATTCTGTGGTGTGCTGGAGGTTTCTGTAAGTGTTGGATAATGTTAAGATCTCAAGAGCTATGAGGGTAGGCTGAAAATTCTCGGTCGAAACAAATTTATGATGTGGCTCAAATGCAATTTAAGGAATTCTTAATAATGCCCGATTCGGCGCTCCTAGTCGCGAGTGGCAGATAGTGGTGGATATTTCCATTATAAATGTAAAAAAATCTTCTGACAAATCCATGTGCAGCAGTGGACTGTGTACAGTCAGTGTACAGGCTGGTTGTAAACAAAAATTATGGAAGGTGGTGAAAAATATTGTCCTAATTATATTTTTTAAAGTGGACTTACCTCTAATACTTTGAGATATGGGTAAAGACTTATAGCAGAATGAGAGGCATTACTTTGTGATTTTAGTGTACTTAAGTTACGTATAAATGCCTCCTTTATGACAACACGCCACTCGTTTTCAGTCTCCCGTAGTTTTGACCTCTGTAAAATTATGTATTTAATCATTTATTTCATAGTAAATTTATATATAAGCACAGTATTTTTATATTAATAAATATTATATATAAACTATAAAAAGTGTGATGAACTGAAAATTATTGTATTTAAATTAGGCAGATATTTCCATACCATTCTCATTATATGTATATACAATGTATATATAAAACATTGAAGTTTGTCTTTAAGGTGACACTAGTCGACAATATTTCCATACAAATTTCGGAGGGGTTTTACTACGCTGTTTGACAGTGTACATCCAAAGTTAAACATGATATCGTTTTGTCTCATTATTAAATTTGTCTGTACGGAAACAGAATAGTAAAATAAAATGTTATTAAAAAGTTACGGGCTACCAAAGATTCGTTTTTATTGCCAATTTTAACACAACTTTGGGCGTAAATTAGTAATAAAATGAATGTAAAATTTCCAAAACAAAGTCGGTACCGACACAGCTCAATTATCGAAGAATTCAATAAATTTTATTCGCAATTGATTTATGCAGTGGTTTTTTCATAAAACCCCTTCTTCCAAAGGCCTTTTCGTATTTTTTTACGCGCGTATGTTACTATGAATTATCGTGCATCTCACTGAATAATGTTTCCCCCGGTGCGGTGCGGGAGGACGACGCTTACACACACATGCACGGGCGGTGACGCGCGCTTATTCGAGTTTTATTCGAAACGAAAAGTTTTGCTATTTTGTAATTTGGACGCCAAAGACAAAAGACAGCATGGAAATTGATATAATTGAAAGAGATGAATGATGCGTTTTGGACGACAGACAATATTATAAAATTTTCGTCTGTAATATAATATAATTATAAAAGTAAAAAAGTAAAGTCTATATACGATTACTATATAAAATTGCAACAATTTCATTGGTGCCGACGGGGATCGAACCCGGGTTGCTCGCGTAATGTGATACTTACGGCGAGCGCTAACCATCTGAGCTACCACGGCTCTCAATGCAAGTGTTATAAATAAATAAAGAATTACAAAACAGTTTAATTATTTATTAGACGACTCTTGCGGCGGATAAACAAGGTACATTATGTGGGATTTTCATAGGTACCTACTGTTATTACCTAGATACCTACAACCTACAATACAACAAAATGTCACAAAACGTCACCGCGTCGTGGCCACAAAATTGTAAACTTTAGGTAGGTACGTCAGTACTAAGAAAACAATCTTGATGGGTCACTTGTCTTGATAAAAACCTGTGTTTACATTTAGTGATATTGAGTATATATAAAAAAGTAAGAAGACAGGTAAGTATTTTTGAAAACAATTTATAGGTAGGCAGAACTAATTACAATTACCTATTATCTAAATATTATAAATGCGAAAGTTTGGATATTTGGATGGACGGATGAATGGATGTATGTTACTCAATCACACCAGAACCGCTGAAGGGACCTGGATGATATTTTGCTCAGAGATAGGTTATAGTCTGGAATTTTATTATTTTTTTATTTTTTAAAAAAAAGTTACCCCCACACGCAGTTTACAAACATCCAGACCCGGAACAACTATTTGCAGGCCATACAAATACTTGTTCCGTGCGGGATTCGAACCCGCGGCTGCCAGTGCAACAATTCATTGCTAAGCAACTGCACCACGGAGCTGTAAATAACATATATGATACCGTTTATTCAGGTATTTCGTTCCCGTTGGATAATTTTTGCAGTTATACACGTTCGAAGCCGAACTCTTGAGTGATCGCTGCATGACCACTCGGGAAAAACTAAACATAATAAAGTAAGCAATCTATATTAGGTATATAGAGCCACAGAGGTATAATATGAAGCGATAAAGCAGCGCCTAATAATTTCGCGGTTTCACCCGCGTCATCACGTGTCCGAGATGCGTGGCATGACATGACACCTAGTTCAAGCATTTTATAATTGCAATCAAATATTTTATTTGATAATAATGTATGGAAAAATTGTCATAATTAATGGAGTACTTTTATTTTATCTGTCGGCATACTATGCGCGGTTTTATCCAGTTTTAAAGAAAAACGTACACGATACATGAAAGTGTGTAGGCAAGAAATGATTCTTGATAAATTTGCTATCAACCTCTTATACTTATTAATCAATTAAACTTTCAAAATACCATAGCAACGTGAAATGAAAGAGTTCAGAAATAAAGATGTAACTAATCATTGTTACGCTCACCTGGGAGATAGATAAAAGCACTCAGTTAATTTTGAATTTATTTTAGCTACCAGCTGTTCCCGCGACTTCGTCCGCATTTAGTTTAGGGTGTTAATTTTGTTGCACGGACACCTAATAATTTTTCTAAAATTTAAGCAGTCTAAGTTACTTCTTATAACATGAGCTATCTACTAGTGAAAGTCCCGTCAAAATCGGTCCAGCCGTTTTGGAAATTAACCGGAACAAACAGACTGACTGACATACAAAAATGTTAAAAATTATGTTAATGTAAGTAGCGTATATAATTTCATATGCAATTAGTAAAAAGCTGTTATTTTGACATTACAAACAGACACTTCAATTTTATTTATTTGTGTAGATATAGATAATGATTGAACTAACGGCTAACCTAACCTCGCTCATAGAAGCTTTCAATACTGCCTTCTCAGTTCGCACCGGGCTAGGCTTGGGGTTATGCGTTGCTTGCGCGTCAAGGCCAAGTATTGAATTATTTTAATTTTACATTATCTCTTAACCTATGTACTATATAAACATGGTATAAAGAACGAACTTTATCTTCAAAAAATTGTCTTGATAATGAAGTAACTTTCGTTCGTAAGGATAAATATGTCATGCCTAATCATTAAATTTTCATTTTTTTTTTGTCAAAATCAAAATGCCTAACTGTAGCTTATATATAAAAAATAGACATATGGTATCGCGGACTTTTTTTAGACGGAGTAAAGATCTATATTTTCTGCTTTATTATATTAGTATAGATGTTGCATCGTGTTCGTGTAACTTCGTTTTTGTTCAAACGGTTCTGAATGCCGTACGAACAAGACATGCGTGAATACTAGTGTCGATATGCTCATCACTGATACTATCTCTGTCGGGCACGATGCCAGGTGAGACAGCGTGCTTTTTCGCCGCGCCCACCAGCGAGTTCGAGCCCGCGACTTGTGCCACCTTAATGCCGAAATAACTGCCTTTTATTAACCTAAGGGGGTTACATATTTGCATGGAGTTAAGACATAAATAACCATTTTTACAATTTTTGTCTGTCTGTCTATCTGTTTGTCTGTCCGGGCTACTCATTGAATGTCTGAACCAATTGTAATGAATCTTGACAAACAGATATAGAGCAATGGCAGGAGGGATCCTAGGCTGTATTTTATTCGAAAACCTTGGAGATAATGTCTTTAAAAAAAGTCAAAAAAATTGATAAAACAAATGGTGTTTTATGATTATCTTAAATCTAAATAGCGCCTCATCATAGCACACGACAGATCCTACCGGGGCAAAGCCGGGGTATGTAGCTATTATGTTAATAAAGCATTCTCATGTCATCCTAAGTCAATACAATTCATAAGTAAGTAATAAATTAAAAATAAATATATAATTTTATCTTACATATAATTTCACCATGTCTGTTTCATCATCCTTTACAGCAATATTTTGGACTTCAATCTCGCCATTTATCTCCATATCTAACTGTATTTGTCCCATTCTTTTCATCTCTTCTAGACTGAGCAAGCCTTCAGCGGGAGAAATGTACAGCCCTTGCCTGTTTGAAGTGTCGCTAAGTTTCAATTTCTCTAGTAAAGGACAATCATAATCAAGCACAGGTGGTGTGTACACTGGTTTGAATTGAGGTTGAATCCTATGGATTGCCTTAAGAACAACTTCACGTTGGTCATAAACAAACTTGCTTTTGTCTAGAAGATCATTTATTGTCATACTCTAAAAGTAAATTAGTGAATTATTATATTATTTGAAAACAAAATTTTCCTATTATATTATTAAAGTACATCTTTAAATAAAATAAATCAAGGTACCTTTTCTTGCAACTGTTGATGATAAAATTCTAATACTGTTGTTTTATTTGGAATTTGACTTCTCTCAATGCATTCAAACATTGCTGCATAAGACTGAGCATTTAAGGTGACTCCATCTTGTTCCATAAATGACAATAGTTCTTTGGCATTTTCAACTTGTCCCTAGAACAAAGCTAAATTGAATATATATACAGTTAATTTTAATAGATCATAAGAAGAATAGTAATTTATAGTTAATTTGATAATTAACTAAAAAATCACCATTTTGTCATCGAATTAACCTTAGTATTGGTATTACTTATTCATTTATTTATACACTTTATTGTACTAAAGGTACAAACGGCGTACTTAAGGCCATATGGCATTTTCTACCAGCCAACCGGAAAGTTAGTGGGAGATGTGTGTACTGCAGTGGGCTAGGGTATAAAACATAAAATTGATAAATTTCACACACACTTACACACGCAAACACACACATGTAGATTCTACTCATTTAAATAAATATAAGGTTATATAAATAATCCACTTGTTAGGGGATTTTCTTATTGCTAAGGGAAGCGAATTCCAGCGAGTTTTTCAGCTGTAACAGCGAGACTTTGAGAAAAAACTTGAGATTGTTATGAGAGCAAAGATTGCAATCATGGGAAGAACCCAGGTATTGAAACTTACATTTCAAATACTCTGGGGCCAATGGATTGTTAAGGATAGTGAAACGAGTGCTAAGAATTTTAAGATTCTAACTTTGTGGAATATTCAACCATTTAAGTTGAGAATGATGGACAAATACATGGTCATAATTTCGAAGCCCGAAAACGAAACGGATACAGTTGTTGAAAAGTTGATCCAATTTATTGACCAAGTAACTGTCTGCATCTAAGTAACACACATCGGCATAATCAAACATACGAAAAATAAGAGATTGAATTAGAAGTTTCTGCATACAATGTGGTAAGGTATTTTTTTATTTTTATATCTGTACTATTGTCTCAATGTAGTACAAACTTTACGGCTAACTTCCTCAACATGACTGCGTCAAGTAAGAGAACAATCCAAGGGTAATCCTAAGTCCTTACACGAGTGCTGTATGAAATAAACTTGCCATTATAATTCACTGTAGTGGAGTGGTATTACCAACTATATACTAAAATAATATCAGCATTGCATATTTTAATATTTGAAGAAAAAATAATTTCAAAAGCTTATATTACTATCACATTGTTGTGTTGATGTCAAACATACCATAATATACCATACATTAGAAGCAAAAGATTTACTTCCTTGTTCAAAATGTATATGGCAAAGGAGTGCAATCATTTGATAGTATTTGTTTTTTTATCCAATTACAACATAGGTTGTCTTCAGGACAAGGGTGAATAGACTTTCGTTAAACTAAGTTAGGGCGCTTAACCACCTTTGGGAGCATCACCACTTGCCATTAGGGGGATAGAAATGAAGAACTGGCTTATAATAATTTATGAACATACAAGTAAACTGTAACTGTACCATACACAATGTTAAATACGATTTTTTTTTATCTTTATTAGTTCATTATAATTTTAATAATTACCAGTGATGCAAATCCATGCAGCAGTGTGTTGTAGACTTTGACGTCGGTAACTTTGGGATGATGAGGAACCCTTGCTCCTCTTTGCCTGTAATACTGTAAAACCTGTCTTCCCTGCAATAATAATTGAAACTTGAGGCTGGAAAAGTATTCATAATATAAAAAAAGTAGATGAAATGAGTGCTTCAACACACTCTGGTTATTTTGCTTTATATATGTACATAAGGACTCTTAAAGTTACGGCTTATATGTGTCTTTCAGCTGGGAACACACTTCCTCTCATTCTTGAGGTTTATAGGGCAAGGAAATCTGACACGTTGCTCCAAGGCATGTTGGCGAACTTCACATTATAGAAATATATTTGTTTAATTTCTTCACAATGTTTTCTTTCACTAGCGAGCATGTGATAAATCAGCATAAAATAACAATTAATAATTTCGTTGGTGCTGGCGGGGCTAAAAACGGCTTACTAGCATAATATGAAATTTAGAGCAAGTGCCCTGAGCTACCACAGCTTTTGATAAGATAACGCTGGAGTCCGATATAATAAAACTAGTAAAAAAGTAGGTTATCTGACCGAAAATGTGGTTAAAACAACAATTGTTTACATTTCTACATAATAATACTTGTCTTAAGATCAGCTTGTATTTTATGTATAAACATTTTTACGTTTTATAAAACTGTATGAACAGTTTTATAAAATGTAATACTGCTACTAATACTCAATACTGAACAATATTTCTGCACAGTACAGCACATTGTAACCAATATGATAAAAGATAAAATTATTATTGCTTATGCTAATTTTAAATCATAAGTAGAAGCAAACACTACACCATAATTTCCTTACCTCTTTTACCATATTGAATGAACACAATAATTGTAAATGGGCTGTTAACAATTTGTGCAATGCCTCCTGCTTGCCATGCCTTTCAAGCTCCTTGAGGTCCTGCTTCATATTAATTTCCAGTGCTGCTCTTCGCTTCTCTTTCTTTTTCTTTTTCTTATCTTTTATTACTTGTTGCCTATTTTGAAAATAATCATTTAATATTTAAAAATAAATTGGTTCTAAAAAAATGAGTCATACAAAATTATGAAATATATATTTGAATCGCATACATTTGCAGTTTAAATACAAAAAATGTCATTGTATGAAAAACTTACGCTTTTTTAATTTTCAATTTTTTAACATTCAGAGATTCACTCAGGTCTGCATCAAAATCTGCATCTCTGGTTTCAGTTTCATTATGCAAAATAGCATCATCACAAATTTCTTCTATTGCAGGATGTGCAATTCCTTGAACTCTGAAAAATCATATGTAATTATTGTAGTATTGAAATTATGTAGTAATTATGAAGTATTAAAAAATCTGAAATTATATTAACATTTTCAAAATTAAATAAAGTTCCAGTAGGATATATAATATGTTCAACTACTGGGTGCCTCCTCTAATTTGAGAAGGTCATAAGCAATTAGTAGCCCTGCTGAGGTGTGTAACAAGTTGACCAAATATTAAACAAATATCACCTGATCACTTGTAATTCTTAACTTAGTTTAGTTTACGACTGGCTGTTTCCGCAACTCCACGTCTAAGTACAAATTTTGTGTAAATTCTTAACTTAAAAATTGATTAGAATATATGCTAAATAAAGTACTAATTTAAGTCCCTAGTTAGGGCCAAAACAGTGTTAAGCCATAGTATGTTATTTCACACTTCTCTCTCCGCAATTAGCCTAAGCCTGCCTATAACAAGTTGATTGTGACACATTTTTAAAATATAAAGTGGATTTAATGTACACAAAAGTTGACTAACTCTGCTCTATTCCCCAACTATCATAGTCTAATTGTAATTCATTGACTTGTTCAAAACGGGTCAGGAGGACATCATAATCTCATCAACCTTACACATTAAAAAGCTTTGTTTTTTTTAATTATTTATATATCTTTGCTATGTGTATCTGGTATACAATATCTGTATTTGAAATTGCTTGTGACATATCTATAGTTTAAGCATAATATACCGCTTCCAGTCTAAAAAAAATATTACTTACTGAAAATTTGTTATATGGTGCATAAGTTCATGATCATAGTTATCTAATTGATTACTCATAAACAGTTCTTTAAATACAGCATGAGGGCCCTTTGGTAATACCTGAGGTTCTATTTCTCCATCATTAGATTTTAAATCAGATGTCATTCCGAGATCAAACTCCTGGATGAGTCCCTCATTTATAGCATACCTTAAATCTTGTAACCTCTGATCATATATGGTAGCTTTTCTAAAATTGTAATAACTCTCCTTTACCATGTCAATATATTGTTTAGTTTTAAACCTTTCTTCAATTGAAGATATTTTATGATTCGTAAAAATTAAAGCACATTTATCATCTTCTAAATTTATATCTTTAGAAACTACAGGCACTGTAGTCTTCTTTGTTAAAATTTTCTCTCTTACACTTTGTAATAACTCTGCATCCACTTCAATATTTGACTTTTTTGAAGATTTTTTTGTCAGCTGATGAAGTTGACCCAAAGAAACAGGACTAGATGTCAGTTTTGACAAGTGTACAGCTCGCAGTTTGCTTATTGACACTTTTATTTCAGTCATAGCCTTATCACCAACTGTAAAACATGAAGATAGTGTGTAGAAAAAGAACAAAATAATTTAAGTATATTAAATAACAAATGATGTGTACATAATTTACTAGATATACTGATATTCTGATCGAAATTTAAGGGATTATTAAATACATACTAAAAATTACTTTTCATTACTCTATCTTTTTATTTAAGTGTATAAAGTATTAGTAATATACCAAGTAAAAAACTAACCTTCAAGCAATTCGCCATATTTTTTATAATTCTTATGTTTTACCTTCTTTTTATGTGATCTTAAACTAGCTGTTTTCGTTGACTGATGTCTCGTCAAAATTAAATTCTCTGAAAAAAAAAGCCACCCTGTTATGCAACATTAATATGAGGTTATGTTTACTAGCAAACGATTGGATAATATTATGTATACTATGCATTTTTCCTTATTTGCACATAATAATTTGTTAATAACATGTACAACATACCTGGATTGTTGGTTGCTTGAAGTACTTTCTGACAAAAGGAACATTTTAAATCCGAATAAGTAAGAGATTTTACAGTACTGTGTGGTAAACAAATCCCCTGAAGACTTCCCTGGTAAAATTTCTTTGCTGATATAAGACGATGCATTATCTTCCTAAACAAACATCACAAATAATAAGAACCGAAAATGCCGAAAATAATGCACAAGCACAAAACACGAGCAGCAATAATACCAAGATTATGATTTATTATTATTCGCTGCGGGAGATATAACCAGTAACCACGTGAAATCACAGAATACTTTACTCCTAGCGGAGACGTGAAATTGAAGGACAAGCGGACAAGAAAAAGAAATATACAGTAGGCAAAGACAAAGAGTATAGCAACTGTCCCATAGAGTAGAGTAATATATATCGGAATCTAATCTATTTCTTTATATTGGAAAGTTTCATTAAAATACATTCAGTAGTTTCAGCGTGAAAGAGTAGCTAATATTATAAGTAGGATGAAAATGGCACATTAATTTCAAAGTGAAATCACAAATCACTCAATTAAAGAAGAATAATATTGAGTATAGACTGTTATAATAAAAGTGTAAATAAACAATTCCGGTCCTTAGATAAATTAAACTCTACAAAACAAAAACGGACTATCGATATGTTTATATTAAAACTTCCTATAATTATTGTATTTAAAATATATTCAATTATTTTAATTGTTAATTAAATGATGCTCGCGACTTCGTTCACGTGGATTAAGGTTTTTGATTCCCGCGTGAAATTTTTAATTTTCTGGAAAAAATTTAAGTTATGTTCGGGTTTAGTCGTTGTGGCTTGAAGGAGTAACAAACATCCAAACTTTCACACGCAAACTTTTTATATATACGCGCATCATATTGAAACTACTGAATCCGTTTGAATGCAGTTAGGCATATTATTTTGTTGCTTATACACTGGATTGATCATTAGGATAAGTTTTATCCCGAAAAACTATAGTACATACACAATTTCGCGTTTATAATATTAGTATGGATCATCTTATTGTTTTATTTTAACAGATTTCTAAAAAATTCCACTTAAAAATGCGGTGGGCAGTTGTGCAATCGAAAAAGACGTAAGTATTATCTGTTAGATGCATTTTGATTCATCCCTATTTCAATGTTTGCCTAGTAAATGTCGCAAATTAGTCTGTAATGCTTTACTAACATTATTGTTAACAAATGTTGTAAGTGTTATTCATGTTATATACTTGTAAAATTTGTAATTGTATGTTGAGACAACCCAATTTTGCTTTGGTAACTTAAGCCTTTTTTATTTCTAGTATTCTTTTTTTATATAGGATATGGTGACAAACGCGCACACAGTCCACCTGACGGTAAATGATTGCTGTGACCCATAAACATCTACATCTATCCTCAATAAAGAATCAAAATGCAGATGCGTTGTCATCCGTGAGTACTAAATACCAACGTTAAATAGCAGCATTAAGCTGCTATTTAACGCTGGTATTCTGTGAGAGCGTGGCCCTTCCCCGGTCGAGCCGACCCTTTTGTGCTACAACTATATATACTACTAATATAGCTGCAGCAGGGTTCTACCTCGTATAAATCATGTATAACCATACAAAATTACAGCTCTTTAGAGTACCAATAGTCTCTACGCTAAGGCGCAGACAGACGGACGGACTTGATGAAACTATAAGGGTTCCTTCTTGTTTTACCACGGAACCCTAAAATGACTTGTTATGCTGACCAAACTATTAAAATGATTTTAATTTTTCGAGTGCGTTTTGCTTATGCTTGTTTTTTTTTTCGCTTAGGGAAACTATCGATATAAAATCTCATTTCACGAGTATCCCGTGTTCAATTCCCGTCGGCAACAGTGAAGTTGTTCATGAATAATTTTACTATCACAAATTATATGTTATCAATTTTTTGGCATTATATAGTAGATATGCACGATGAACTAATTCTGCCCTCACTTGCTCGCGTGTTTCGTTCAATTACCGCCAACCCGAACTCGAGCTAGTAAGTATGCACTCCAGTACACTTAGCTAAAGTTGAGCGCAACTCGAATTAGTAACCCCATCACTATCAAAATGGCATTTCACGTTTAACGTTTGTCAATGTTTGTCAATTGTATTAGCTTGATACATATTTATTTTATAGTTATTATTATATATAGCCGATATTTAGTTTTCATATCGTTATTGAAAACCGTTTTCAAATATCGATGTCAGTAGTAATGGTTTCCTACTGAATGCACAAACGACAACTGAAACAGCCAGAAACTGTAGAACCAGTGAAACATTTATTTTCTTTTTTGCTTGACTTGGCGGGGGCACTGCTGTGCCCCCAGATAACGTTGTAGATACAAGAGGTACGTACATAAAAAAATAAAAATAAAACTTTTCTGGCGCATATAAAAATCGCCGTATTAACAAATGATTTACGAACGACGAACATGTTTACGTGGTAGAGCCATGCTGCAGCTATATTAGTAGTATAGTTGTAGCAGGAATGGGTCGGCTCGACCGGGGAAGGACCACGCTCTCACAGAATACCAGCGTAAAATAGCAGCTTAACGTTGCTGTGTTTCGTATAGTGAGTGTAGAGAACCAGAGACACTTTTTACTGGAAATGAGGCATTCCATCGTAGTCCTCACGGGCGACAACGCATCTGCATTTTGATTTGTAATAGAGGATAGATGTAGATGTCTATGGGCCGCAGCAATCACTTACCATCAGGTGGTGTGTGCTCGTTTGTCACCTTTATCCTATAAAGAAAAATGATAACACAAGGCGTAAAATATTTACAGACGTATTCACATTTTTTTCCTTTAAATTTTTTTCTTTTGTATTTTAAATTTTTTATTTATCAAATCGTTTTATCAAGGTTTTCATTTAAAAATGCAATTTCTTCAACTTTTTGGGGCTTGAGACGATACATTTTTTCGTTAATGATCAACCCCATTTTAAAATATTAAAAGAGACTAAATTAACTTGAACTATACTAGGTATACTTTATTTTCACTTTACACATAATTGTCTGAATTGAAACTAATGTACAAAACGCACACAAATATATTGCAAATAAATGCACAAACGCAACATCAAAAAATTATGATTTTATAGATAATATCATATGAATGGCACGCGCCACCTAGGTCAGAAGCATAATTGTTGCGTTTTGAAAAAAATCAAATTCTAAACTTTCCATGTAAAACAAACAAAAAGTTGCCTAAACCAAATAGAATATGGTCATACGAATCTAACTCTTGTGTCTAATGTTCTAAAGATCATTTAAATTTGACAACTCTCACTACTAAACTAACATAAAAATTAGGAAATTTTAACCATTTAAAATTTGACCTTATTCCATTTGGTAATTAATTATATTTTACTATGTGCACAGTTGTGTTATAAGTACCAAACCATCACAACGAAATCTATATTCGCTTCATCTCTTTCGTACGTATTTACGATACCGTCGCTATAACGAGAAACAACGAATATCAACTAAGTACATCGGTTAGTTTTGGGCTGTGTTAGCATATCGTTCCAGTTTGCGACTTTGCGTTTTATGGTCCCCACACACGGTCTGTTAAACTGACATCAGTTCATCTGATCATTTCAAACGGATTTAATCCAAAACAATTTCCACACACACGGTCAGTTCAACTGATCCTTCCAACTGATCAGTTCAAACTAGGACTGTAGATATTTTAATTTTAAATGTCGGATTTTCAATATATCGATAATTATAAATATACCTATCAATATCGGAGTTTTATATATCGAAAACATAAGCGATATATCGATGCTTATTGCTTAAAAATGATTTACACAGTTTATAATTTAGTATATTTATTAAACAAATTAAATTATAAATGTATGAAAATGATAGCTTATAGTTCTTAGTAATTATTAATGAGCCGTGGTAGCTCAGATTCGATCAACCCGGGTTCGATCCCCGCCGGCACCAATGAAATTGTTAATGGCAATTTTAAGTGCTGATTTACCACGTGCTCAGCGATGAAGGAAAACATCGTGAGGAAACCAACATGTCTGAGAAATAAATTAAAAATTTCAAAAAACGTGAACTTCACCAACACGCATTGGGGCTTCGTGGCGAACGCTGCGCTAAAACCCTCTCAGAAATTAGGAGAGGCATGCCCAGCTGAGGAGTGCCAAGCATAGGGACGTATATAAACTGTAACTTTAACTTTAATTACTGTATAATTTAAATAAGACAATTATGTTTACCAATATTTTTCAGTAAGAGTTTTCAAAAATACTCGTTGTTTTATATGTTCAGCTGTTTCAATACTGCGATCATTAGGCACTAAAAGATTGTTTGTAGAAGTAATTCGTTCAGATGCTACAGATGCAGCTGAAGAAATCAAATATTTAACAGCTATTTCTGATAGCACGGAAGTAAATCATAAAACGCCTAAGCAATTAAAATGACTTTAGGCTTATACCAACATTGAAGCACTTATTTCGTCGTTTTCTCTAATAGCTCATATGCGCAGATACTTAATACACATAATCGCATCACTTTGATAAAAATCCACTTCAAACGATTATTTAATCGATAAAACAGGAGCAACCATCCGTCAATGATCAAGCTCCTGCCAAAACTCACAGTAAGTAAAGTAGTACTAAGTTTCATAGATTATAGTGATTTTAATATCACAGAGATATACTTTACAACATTACATTTCTTTTTAAGATAATAAGCAAATAAATAAACTGGGGCAAAATGAAAAACATAATATAGTGTAAATAAAGTATAGTAGATTGGGTCCATCAAGGATTAGGATTTAAGTTTACGATGGTGTTGTAGATTAAATGATTTACGTGAAAAAATAAAAATTAAATTATTTTAAAAAATATATCGACTGTCGTATATCTATATTTCAATATCAAACTTATATTTTAATATATGTCGTCCAAAAATATTAAAAATAAATATCGATATTTCTAAATAATAAAATAGATTTTTCGATATATCGATATTTTATCAACAGTCGTAGTTCAAACGTGGGGCGTGGCCATGGGCGTTTGGTTTCTGTGACTCCTATAAAATATCATATATAAATAAATTAAATGATATTTAATAACATCTAAATTTTATTTAATATCA